TTAAATTTGTTTCTCGCTGCAAAGAGTTTTGTACACCTTCGTTACTTTCATTGTTTGTTATAAAATCTGAAATTCAAGTGATTGGGAAGACTACCAAAATTTAATACATTGCAATAGACCATTTGACAAAAATAGCTCATACGATGAATGTAAAGTAAAGTGCCCACGTGAAAACTGTAGTTAATTAATGGCGTTCTTGTTTGCTCAAATATAAAATTTACTATTCGATAGGCAAGATTGTTGCAATCGGGTACTAGACTTTCCCCGTATAAAAAACTTTGTTCACAGTACTCTTTTCATCCGGAATGATTTCCTGTAAGCCTCTTTTGCCAACCATTTCAGCGCTACAGATATGTTTGTTGTTCTTTAGCATTTTAAATTTTTTTGGTGGGTACAATTTTACCAACTCGTTTTTTCCCTTTATTCGGGTTGATAAGTTTCGGCCTATATTGTATTGGCTTAGTACCCTAATTTTGCGTCTTTAGTAGAGCGAGAAAGTTTTTTGTGTGCGCGTGTGTGTTTTGAGGGTTTTTTGAAAATTGATTTTGGCTTTTTTATTTTCTTTTTTACTGCGAATTATTAAATTTCTTCCTATATTATATCCTTTTAATCGCCTCGTTATTATTTTTGTGCGTTCGTGCGTGTGTGTATTGAGGGTTAGGGGGACCTTATAAATTTTAGGGTTGATAGATTTCGGCCTATATTCATTTGGCTTAATGGCTTTATATTGCTTTTTTCAACGCACAAAAAATCATGTGTTTTTAAAGTGAGAAAGACTGAATAATTTTTTTATTAGTCCTAAGTTTTTTTTGGAATTTTTTTAAAATAGTTTTTTGAAAGTTTTTTGTAAAATTTTTTTGTTTTTTTTCGGCTTGTTAGGTTTCAGCCTACTTTACTTCAAATTACCGGCTTTATATTAATTCATTTGACGAGGAAATGAAATTTTGTGTGTATGTGTGGGTTTTGAGGGTGAGGGGGACTTAATAAATTTATATGAGCTTCGCTGAACTATTTTCGCCCTAAAAGGTTTTCTGCTAATGTATTTTTGGCCTTGTTAACGCTTGATAAAACTTCTTTGTATACTAATTTTACCTTTTACTCTCATGACACGTTAACTAGTCTTATTTTTTTGATAGTCTAGTTTTTCCGATATTTTTTTGTTTAGCGGTTTTCTAGTTTTTGCTTCACCTCTGCGTACAATTTTGCAAGCACTTTGATGAACACAAACATAAGACATTCACTAGTTTTTGCAACAATTAAAACACATTTCAAAGGATATTTGAAAACCCTCGCAGATTGTTTGATCCTCTCAACAATAATTGAAAAGTCTTTCACAAAATGTTTTCTTTAGGCTGTTTTTCAAAATTTCAATTCATGGATCCACAATTTGAAGCCACTATCAGGACTTCATGTTTTTCCTTACGCCCCCTCCTGCTCTTAAACGTAGAGTATTTCTGTTAAACGGTTCAAATTACCAAATAATTGTTCAGAAAGTTTCTGTTTAAAATTTTGATTCAACGAACTTTCCGGAATTATGACGCTTTTTCAAATTAACAAAAAGAAAAGTTTGAGGCCTTAAGACAGAAAAAAAATCTAAAATTCATTGCAAATTTTTTATCAAAACTTGGAAAGGTAAGTCTTTTTAGCCTAAAACAAATATTTTTAACGCTTTTGAAAACCTGAAATTTCAATATATTTTGTCACACAACGCCCAACTATTTTTCGGTATAAGTAATAATTAGTAAATCTTCCCTTTAGTGTCCTTCTATAGGTTCGTTCCTATGTTGCAGACAAAATTGTCATAATAAAGAAAAAAGCATTTCGTCAAAAAATTTGATTGTTCCAATTTTCAAGAGGTTTGAGGTTTATTGATCCTCGTTTAGCAGTATTTTTCCATCCGTTTTTGTTGAGCCACATTAAAAAAAAAACTTGTACAAAATTTATCAAGACAAACCATTTGAAATCTACTTTAGATACCTAAGAAGTATGAAAACAATTTAAAAAAAATTGTAAGCATTTCATTGTTAGACCTAAAACTAAAGATTCCTACAAAAATGGAATTTTCATCAAAAAAATCAAATCACTGGCAGAACTTAGAAACAGAACAATCCTTTTACTATGAATAATAGAACTTTATAAAAGAACAAAAGGCCTTAAACTACCTATTTATAATTTTGCTATGAGCATAAAATGAATTTGTTCAAGAAAGAATAACAAAAACTTAACTTAATAAAATGGAGGCATTTAACTGGAAAAAATTTCGAAAAAGCCACAATTACTAAAACTTCAAAATTTGTCTTGAATGATGATGAACTTAAGAAAAAACCGGATGGAAATAATTGTTTAAAAACACTTATCGAGCAGTAACAAGGCCAAAGAAATTTTCGCCAAATTCAATGGAGCCGAAAACAAAATCGTTGTCATGAAAACCTCCTAAGTCATTATTTTGTACACACCTTTCCAAAAACATATACAAAATTAAATATCAATTTTCCATTCTGAACTACGAAAAATTAGATTAGAAAATGATAACACACTGGCCGAACCAAAAGTGGCACACAACCAAAAGAATACAAAAAATCAGATTCAGTTAGTATAGAAACAAAAAGAGTGAAATAAAAACGCCTTGAAGTACAATTAAATTTGCTCGCAGAAAAAAAATCGGAATGTGATAATTAAGCCGGCAAAACAGAAGCAGAGAAACAAAGCCGATAATTTTTTACAAACAAAATTTTTCCTGTTTGGAAAACAAAACTAGTACTGGCCAGATTTGATTTTGGTACCTCTTGACCAAGTGTGCCCGAGATTCTTAAGATTTGAATTCAATCAAAACCAAGCATGAAATGATTTAGAGAAGAATCTTTTGAGCAAGTTGTTAGCCCAAAAAAACTGTCTCTAAAATAGTCTATTCAATTGGCTCGCTGAAAATTAAAAATTGTTCTGATCAAGCTATTGAAGCAAGGAAGTTTCGAACAAATTCAAGTTGAGACATATCGTAAATTGATCTGTACATTCCAATGAAGGAAGGTTCGCGAAAGTGTCAAGTTTTTCTAAGCAAGCTGTTCCAGCTAAGGAACATTGAAAAATTTCAAGTTATTGCATGAAGGGGTTTGGAGAACAGAAAATTTATGTTTCTTTCTTTCAAAATAAATCATAGAGCATAAAACTCTGCAAAATTTTTCTTTAAGCAAACTTTTCAAGCTATAAATCAAAAGCTTTTCTTTAAGCAAACTTTTCAAGCTATAAATTCAAGTTAATTCTGACTAAATTGGTTCGCACATAACTTACTTTTGTTTTTTCTAATCAGGTTTTTTAAGCGTTGGAACTTCAAAATATTGCTATTTTATTGACCAAAATTATTTCATACACCGAGTCAGTTTTCGATTAGTTCCGGTTTTTCTAGGCAAGCTATCCAAGTTTTGAATTTTTCTCAGCAAACGAATCGAATGGCAAAAGATTTAAATTTTTCTATTTAAGCCATTTAAGTTCTAGAGCAAATTGGTCCGCAAAATTTTTTGGTTGCAGCCATTCAAGCAATGAACCGTTAGCTACAGCCATTATTTCGTTTTTTAGAGCGAATTATTTTGTGAATAGTTAGTTTTCTATGCAAGCAACTAAAACTGAAAAACTTCAAGTTGATTCACAGAGCGAATTAGTTGACGAAAAACTAGTTTTTCTTAGTAAGCTATTTTAGCTATGAATTTTTAAAACGAAGCAAATCGTATAGCGAAAAGTTTAAACTGCTCAATTGGAGCTCTTTCAAACGATGAAACTTTGAAATTTTTCAATTTTTTTTCAGACCAAATCGGATCGGAAAAAGTTTGTTTTTCTAAGCAGAGGTTGCTGTTTTTAGTTGAAATGAATGTAATTGCAAAATGTTGGACAGAAGTGGGCAAGTACTGTATTGCTTTGAAGTTGTATCGTGTTTATTTCGCTCTGATGGTTGCTCTAAATGATTCTTCAACGTTCTGATATAAGCATTTTTAAGCGTTGCGCTCAATAGCCTTATGCTAAACTGATGTCATTCATTTACAGAGGCGGAGGCAAAGCGAATGAGCAGTCAAAATGCAGGCTAGAGCCACTTGCGCATGTAAGATTGGCATAACAGACTGTTTCTCGTTCGGTTAAAAATCTTAATATCCGTTTTGGCTGAGTAGTTTATGAGAAAAATCCAGGTTTTAAAAAATCAACAAAATGTCAAAATAACAAAATGGGCTTGTTTGCGGCCATAACTTGTTTCAGAGAATTTAATGAATAACCGCTTAAAAAGGGGAGATTCCCTCATTTTGTTTTATTGATTGAATCCCTTGAGGAAATGAAAAATTCACAATTAGGTCAAAACTCCCTCTACTGAAAACTTCAAAGACCGTAGAACATGGGATTCAATGAAAAAATACTAGCGAGATATGCAGGCACTTAGAAGGGCAGCTGGTTTTTTTTATTGATCTTTTGTTTCTGAAAACTGGTGCTGCAATTTTTTAGAAAAATTGAAAATTCTGCGAAAAGTTCAAAACTTTTCCAAATCTTCGCAAAAGAACAAACCCAAACAGTTTCATTATACATGTTTCTTTAAAACAGGACCTTACATTAGCCAAAATAAAGAATCAACTTATGCTTTTAAATTTCTTATGCCTAAATAAGCTGAAATATGATTAAATTGAAATTTACCAAGTGGCACCAAATGAGCACTTCATTTGCGACTTAGATTAGAAAAAAAATCTTCGTAATAATACACTTCACTTCGCTTGAGTAAAAACATACAAAAAGATTTGTAATTAAAAGCGCTTGCTGATTGCAAGCGTGAAGATCATAAATTACTGTGCTGGAAGTCCATACTTGCAATCCTCAGCCCCTGGGAAAAAGTGAGTTTGCAGTTGTTTAACACCTTTTAAAGGCAAAAATACCTTCTGAAATCGCTGATTTACTGCTTTCACAAGGTAGCAAGTTCAAGGATGAGTTCTGAATGGTGAAAATTATCTCATGGCTTAACAATTAACCACTTGTTCTCAAAAACTAAATTGATCTTATGATTTAAGTAGTAGCCATTAGTCTAAGAGCAAAATCGATCTTATGATTTAAGTATGAGCCATTTGTTCCCACCAAAGAACGCCCATGATGAATTTTATTTTTATCGACATATTGTACATACAACTTTTTACATCTTTATACAAAGTCAAAACAAACAGAAGTTCTAAGTTACAGCGGCTATTACGATTCGGCGTCATCTACTGCTAGTTTCATGGCGTAGTCTTTGTAGTTGATCACACCCTTCTCCGAGTCCACTGCTCCGTTCAGCATCTCGTCCAGCTCCTCTTGGCTGAATGGCTCACCTTAGAACAAAAACAATTCGAGTTCTGGTTTCCTTTGGTGCTCAATTGATAAAGTTAAACCAAGAAAACTGGATCAATAGATAAATTTTCAATTCCGCTGGGAAATGTGAACATTAAAATCCACTTTCAAAACTGGAAATCGATCACGATTTTTATTACCTTTACCTTTTTGCTGTTGGATAGTGGAGTATGCTTTCCTTTAGAGGAACTGAACTGAACTTGAAAATAAATCGAGCCAAACCACGAAAAATCAAAATTGAGCGTGAACAAACTTTACTTAATGACTTTTTCCTTAAAAAAAACAAAAAAATTACCAAGACCTATATCCGAGTCTTCACTACGTCATTGCTCTTAATAATCAAAAGAAAATTCAATTATTTTTAGTGCAAGTAAATAGCGCCTCAATGACGCAAACAACGAAAAAATCATGATTGCCAAGGAAGTTTCGCCTTCTCAGCTCGTGCAACTGCGGGCAAAATGCGTGAATAAATTACCCTCTTTGGTGACATAATTAGAGATCTCCTCCACTGTGAGGTAGCCCTTCCTGTCTGTGTCCAGGATCTCCAGGGCACGCATGATCTTCTCTTCCGGAGCTGGTCTGTACTTGTGCTCCATCAGAGTCCTACTCATCATGGTCTCGAATCTGTCCAGTTTGATATACCCGGTTGGCTCCTCCTCCTCGCACTGAAAACTAAACTAGTTCAATAACTGAACAAATTTCTTCCGGTTCCAGGGTTCTTCGGGAATCATAAATGCTTTCGGGATCTGCATTATCATAATAGGCCTTTATGACGTGAATAATGAATTCTAATTAGATGCAATGATATATTCTGTTCCACGAAATAAATATTCGCGATCTTTTTAGGTAGGGATTTACTTTCTACACTTCAACTATGTGCTTTCAATGGCCTCTCCGACACCAGTTAACAATAATAATAATTAAACCCAATCATATTCACCTCAGTCAACATATCATGTAATTCGCCCTCGGTGGGACAACAATCTAGAGACCTGATAACTGTTCCTAATTCCCTGAAAAAAATAACGAGGTTACTTTCATTATATTTTTGAGAACTCAAAGTAATTATTCAAATGGATAATTTCAAACCTGACATCAATAGTTTGGTTATTTTCGTGGTCAAAAATTTCGAAAGCGCTTCTGATTTTCTTTTGAATATCCATTAACACAGCGTCTAAAAAATTGTAACATGCAAGTTCGAGAATGAAAAAAAAATGAATATTTTGGTGTCTTTCAATAGGCATTTTTACCTCCAGTTTCCCGTTGACCCTCCATTGGGTTCATATCTGCACCAGTTTCGCCCATTTATAGCAAATCTGAAACATAAATTATCAATCAATCTAGGCTCTATTTGGAGACAAGCTTGCAGTTTCAATCTTTATTATAACAAAAAAAACCCTGGCTACAGTGCAAATGAAATGGAAATTTAGGAACCCTTGTTAGATAAGCATGAAAACTACCTTAATTTTCATGGTAACCAGCATTAGGCACATATGAAAAAAAAACAAAAAAAGTGAGACGGTGTAAAATATTTTACACCGAGACGAAGCTGTCACTTCGCAAACAAGCACAAAAGTGGCAAAAGAGAGCTTTGAAATGCACAAAAACACGATGTTATGCACGTTTTGTCGGTTACCCAAAATTTGGATGAAAATGGAAAGTAATCAACTATAGGCAAAAATGCTAATTTTGCATGTAATAAATTGGAAGGTATAAATCAAATTGAGCATACATTGTACATGTTAGAATTCTCGCAAAGTACATCGATTTAGAAAATTTATGAAATTAAATATTTATTATAAGACCACTTTTTTATGAAACAGATTGCTTTTTTCGGTTCATTTGATGAATTTAAGAAGCATTATCTGTTATAACTTATTATAAAACAAATGTCAAAGCAAGAACAATTCACGTTACAGACTGCCTGCTGCAAAGTGCCACCAAAACTATCATTAATATTTGCGATTGGGGTTAGAATAAGAAGTTACTTCGCAGTATAACACTATGCTGCTTAAGTGGAAAAAATTATTCTTTTTGAGATAAAATTGATCTCTAATTATGATAGAAGCTTTTCTTGGTTGAATAGCTTATTGAAGCAAAAAATAAAATCGCGATATCTTAGCTTGGCTTAAAAACAAAAAAAAAGTTTAACCGTAAAAAACATACTCGGCGGCGATGAATAATCAAGCTACGGCGCGACTCACACGAACTTCAAGCACTCCTGCGTTAGATTACAAGCATGAAGAGTTTCGCAATTTTCATGATAACAGCTTTAAGTAAAGATGAATCGAAATCAAATTTAAAAACTTTGAAAATGAACATGAATCCCATTGAAGCATTTTTAAAGGAAAAATGACCTTCTAAAATGATATAAACTCTTTGCGGTTAAATAGCTTTTTGGAGCAAAAAAAAAATACTTCAATCACTTAATAAAATAAAAGACTTTCTCGAAATTTCTCAATGCAGCGTTATTCACAACGTTAACAGCTTGAAAATGATATATAACTGTTCAATTTATCTTTTCAATTGTGGTACCTGAATTTGCAAGAAAAAAGTCGAACCAAAATTTGGTTGTAGTCACAACTCAATTTGACTTCGCTAACTCAGACCACTTAAGAACGCAAAAACTTCTTAACCCAAACCATTAACTACTAGAAGTATACAATTTAACCTACAGAAATCAAGACTTGATCAATTATCACACATTTATTCTGTTTTAGTTTAATAGCTACAAAAGCTCATAAAATTTCAAAAAAGGTTTGCCCGGAAACTTTTTGCAAGATACAATTGAAAAAGTTAAAAGGGTTTTGTTTCAAAAACAGAGACGAGCTAGGAAAATGAAATACAAGCCGAAATCATTTGGCCAAAATAAAGTTCTAAAGCGAAAAAAAATGAAAATATGCGAAAACAAGGTTAGTTAAAATAGCAAACTGCAGGAGAAAATAAAAACTAAAAAAACTATTATGAAACATGCATTCAGCAAAAAAATGTAAAGTGCGCAACTAAGCTAGCAAAACATAATCAAACAAATCATAAGCCAACTAGCTTTTTAGAAACTGATGATTTACTGTTTGAAAAAAAACAGGTCCTGGTCATATTCGAATTCTTGGTGTCAGGACCATTTGCCCCACGGCAACTGGCCCTATGCCAACTTGCCCTATACTAAATAACCCTACATGAAAACTTGTTCTATGCCAACTTGCCTCATATGACAACTTGTCCTATGCCGTTTGGTCCCAAAATTAACAATTCTAAGTAATTATTTGATGTTCAAATCGATTAATGTATAGGACCAGCAAGTGTTAATGGTAAACTGAACTCGTTTTGAGATAAGAAGGCAAATTGACTCAAAATCGTTTAAATTGAGCCTCAAAAATCATCTAAGCTATAATTTTGTCAATTATACGGAAAATGTGACAATAATCCGCAATTAACGCTATTGAAACAGAAGAAAACACTAATATTTTTGTTTTGCGTCATTGTTTAAATCTTTTCTGTGCAAAATTACAACTTAACTATTATGAGTCAACTTATTGTCTTGTGGGGCAAGTTGGTGTAGGACAAGATGGACTGGAACAAGTTGACTTGGGGCAAAATGACATGTAACCGAATTCTTTACCTCAAGACAAATGACTCAAGAGATTCTGTTAAACAAGTTAAATAAAACAATTTTTCTATCTTCCAATTTGATAACGCCTGTAAATGCAAACGTAATTATTACGCTTTCGAATAAAAGAAAACTTGATTTTTTTGATGGAGCTAAGTAAAATCTAAAGATACACTTTTTTCGTGGAGGAAAATCTATAAATAAAGTTGAAACAAGATTTTCTTCGTTTTTTTTGGCGTCAATTGGCTTTTGGTGTTGCAGAGCGTAACTTTCTTTTCATTTATCAAATGGTTTTGAACTATCAGTTTTTGAAAAAAATCTGAATTCATAACTTAAAAATGAGCATTTGAGCGTGAACAAAATTTTCAGCGCTTCTCCGAAATGCTTACGATATACATAAGTGAATATTCATTTCTTTCAGTAACTCAAGCTGAAAAGCCGGTTGCCATTTGTTGACGTGAATATTAAACATCAATTAAAATGAGAAAAGGACAAAGTTTAGCGAACAACGGATAAAAACTGTTAACATAGCCAACAGATAATTAGAAAAAGAAAATGAACGCAAGAAAACAAAAAAACTGACTAGTTTTTTGAAAAAATTTGAACTTTCGAACATTAAAAAATAAAAAACAAGTGGCCTTAAATCTGTTTGAAATTCGGGATTTATTTGTGATTGACACTTTTTTTGATAAAATTAACACTATTTGAGAAAAATTGATGGAAAAACGCTTTGAAAGAGAACGGGTAACAGCAAGGGAACGAGCCTCATAATTACTGTGTCTTTGAGCATGAGCACTACTAGCCGATCTTCAATGTATAACAGTTGAAAAAATGTACCAATTTGGCTGTTTATATCAACCAAGTCATTAACAAAGTTGAGGCATTTCGCTAGTACTTTGTGTTATTGTCTTAATAAGACTCCATAAAAATTAACTACATCTCTCTCGGATTTTTAATTGGAAGTATTGTTTGGCAACAAAAAACCACAAGTCAAAAAAAAATTTACTTATTTTTCAATAAATGGCCCGCTGGAAATACACTGTTTGAAATCACTTCTTCTTCATCAATCAAAAGTCTCGCACTTTTTTTATGAAATTGATTTTTCACGCATAATTTGGAAAACATCAAAAAACATATATTTTCTGACCACGAATACTTTCGATTACTAACGTAACCAATGCCTTTTAAGTGTTAAAACAGAATAATCAACTAGGATTTAATTAAATAATTTTACAAACTCCCAACGGCATTAAATAACAAGTTGAAGTGCTAATTTAAATACACTGTGGGTTCTGATGCAACCAGCTCAAAATTTCTATAACTTTAACGGCAACAATTTGTAATCTAATAGACATCTAATCAAGTAATCTCTATAAAACACTGGGCCAATACATCAAGTAGCAAGCATACTTTACAGAACTTTTTTTTTCAGAAATGAGAACATCTCATTATGAAAGACTAAGAACCTTCCCTCTTTGCCGTTTTCGAATGAAAACATAAATATTTGAACCCACAATTTGTCATTAAATCTTCATGGATTTCTAGTGTACGGGGACGAATCAAAATTAGCACCAATAAGTTCCATAAAAGGGTTTGAATTCCGGAAGACCTCGAGACAAATGAATCTTAATACTTCCGTTGTTCTTTCATATATTCTGGGCATGCAGCTCAGTTTTCTTTCATGAGCGGGTCACTTATAAGTCCAAAACTGTCGAGACTGCGAATTCTTGAGTAATCATGAGCTGACTTTAAAGGGGTCACATGGGTACTCGAAATTGGACTTCTCGTGTCTGTCGGTCTTATAAGGTCCATCAAGGTCACTCTAGACTCACTGTTTAACATTGCTGCAGGCTCAGTTTACGTGACTTGGGTTGAAATTGGTCTGAAACAACGACAAATTTAGAGGTGACGGAAAAAAAGAAAAAACAGAAAGACAAACTATTAATAATCATACATGAACTAAAAAAAGATGGTTATAGACGTTAGCACAATCTATATTCAGAAAAGAGGGCAATGAAATCATATGGAAAAGCAAGACATTAAATACCCCACGTAGATATTGATCAAAGTGCACATGAAATGGTTCGCGCATGGGTCAACATTCTGAAGGTGGGCGGGCCCGCTAAATCCTCTTCTGATCACTCGAAAGGGAGTTTATACGAAAAAATTTGTTCCCTTAAGACACGCATTATTTTGTATTGAAACAAATGATTAGTTTCGACAAAACGATAATTTTGATTATTATCATAGCCAACAAAAAAATCAACGAGCTTCATAGTAACTTTAACTCGCGTTACTGGAAATATATACTATTTTTGTGATAATTACAATGACCAAGCTGATGATTATGAAGAAAAATTTCATGAAATCAAAAAATCGAAACAGAACAAGCGTTACACAGTAGACAGTAATATCACACAAGAATCAAACCTTTGGTTGCGTCTTACGCGACCGGTGTTGCTTGAAAGAAACATAGCCAACAGACACTTAAGAAAGAGTCAATGAACGCAACCAGTTCATTGACTTTTTCTCAACTGTCAGTTGGCTATGTTTCTTTCAAGCCACACCGGTCGCGTAAAACGCAACCAAACTTTGTTGCTTGTGCTATATTGCTGTATAACGCTTATTCTAATTCGATTTTTTGCTTTCATGAAGTTTTTCTTCATAATCATCAGCTTGGTCATTGTAATTATCAGAAAAATAGTATATCTTTTATTTCGCAAACACAACCGACAAAAGTATCTTCAAAAAGCAAAAAAAAAAATACAAACTTTAATGGGACTAAAAATAAATGCTCTCCATGGGAATTGAACAACAGGACCTAACCATCCAACTCGACTGCCCTACACACTATGCCACTAAAACATTATAAATCGAAACATTAGCCACTTATCAAGCGGATAAATAAGCTAAAACACTGCGATTCTAAGCAGCAAAATTGTCATATTTTATGCTTACATGAGTTGAATGGGTAAAAGTTGACTCGTAATATATCACAATACACGCATGCAGGATTGTTCGGCAAAACAAATGGATAGGACTTCTGGAAGAAACTTAAGCAACTTTTATGGTCAGCTGTTTTACTCTCAACATAATACAATTCGATGGAAAAGAGTCAATAAAGGAAAAGACAATGGAAAAGAGTCAATGAACGCTATTGAACAAAAATAACGATTATTTTATAAAAAAAACTTTCGAATTTCAAAGAAAAAAATAGATGCCTTTAAAGCTCTTTGAATTTCTGGACCAATTAATGACTGTTATTTTTTTCCATAAAATAGACCCAATTTGAGAAGACTGGATCAATAGGCAAATTTTTCATTTCGCTAGGAAAACTGAAAATTAAATTCCACTTTCGAAGCTAGAAGTCGATCAAGTTTTTCCTAACCTTTACACTTTTGATGTTTAATAAATGAGTTTCTCTTCCTTTTAACAACTGAACTGATCTAAGAACTGAACTCAATAAGAAATCAGAAGTCAAACCACGAAAAAGCTTGAACAAAATTTCAGACTTTTTCTGAAAAATAAAACAAAAAAAATAATCGCGACATATATAAGAGTCTGAAATACGTTCATCGACTCTTAAAATTTAGCAACTAGTATTTTTCAAGTTGAGAAATAAAAACGATTATCTTACAAGGTGAAATAAAAACTGAAGGAATGTTTTTTTCAGACTTCATACCTCAAAAAATGAGTGATTCGATTTCATCTACTTTACATAATAGCGAAGCTGCCCTTTCACAAGCAACAAACCAGAACAAAAAATCACTAGCAAAAATAAGACTTGACTTGATTTCAATTGGCTGACCCGCGAAACTAGTGCATCCCGGATAACAATACTTTTAAAAGCAACAACAAGGCAGATATGAATGTGCTTTGATAGAACAGGGATAGCTGATGCTTATGATTCTGAAACTAACCATGAGAATCTGAGCTGTACAAATAAACTGAACACAGAAACCTTGCGACTTATGTGAGAAAACAAAGTTGTAGTAGTGTCGTGTCAATGAACCAGGAAGACAAAACCGATTGAAATTAAAAAAGCTTCAACTTGATATGCTTCTTTTCGAAAATTGAAGTCAATCGAAGCATATCAAGTTGAAGCTTTTTAAATTTCAAGAATCTACGCAGAGGCGAAGCGGATCATCCCATTACTTGCGATACAACGCAATCACAGCATTACACGCAAGCGAAAAGAAAATGAGACGGAAGTAGCAAAATCGAAAATATATCTTTTTTGGCGGAAAAAATGGAAACAATTTCAGAAAAACAATCAAAAAACACAACTACCATTATAAAAAAGGATTATAATTTTTTGTCGAGCTGCCACTAAGCCGAGAACAAATGACAAATGAATAGACACCCATTGAGCCGAAAACAAAAATTTCATAAGAAATTGTTGTCTTAACAAAATTGAATAATTATGTTATAAAAATTTGAAATGTTGAAACACAAACTACCTGAATTCAAAAAAAAATCAATCATCGACACATTAAAGGTGAGCTCATATTATAACTTTGTTTGAATGAACAAAACAACGGTTGCTCATTTAGCATTGTTTTTTTTACTTCTACGAACCCTATTCGATACCCGGAATAGCGCAATATATTCCAATCCGTGAGGGGTTATAGTGGAAAAATATGGCGTAAAAAAGGCATAAATGGGTTGTAAAACAAAGCTTTTGTAGTTTTAAGAGAAGTTTAAGAGAAAATTTTCGCAATTTTGTGGGCACGACGCGATACTATTGTTCAGACTTTCGAAGAAAGTTGTGAATATAAGCCCGGGGTGGGTTTTGTATTCAGAACCATTCTCATAAATTTTTCCCACGAGGAATCAACCCATATATTTTCATGGTCCCGGAAGAAGCGCGCTAACTACTAGACTATCCTGACTTAACGAATGTTGTGAAACGCTCAAAAATAGACTAGCGTGTCTATAAGAGCACTAAGAATGTTTGATGCTGAAAATTTAACGCGCATTATACCATTTTCATTGAGTCAGGCTAATTGGTCTTATTAATTCCATACACTATTTATAATATTTAGCTTTAAGTTCATAGTTTGTCAATATTTCATTAACCAAAAGTATTCGAGACCAATTTAAAGACAGTTGCAACATTGAGGCTTTGCCCTGATACGAGCAGTCTTGTTTGTCATGTTGCACGAAACAGGTTTCTTTGCCGTTAGCGTAGTATCGGACCATAATTTCGATTGGTTTGAAAAAGCTGATAAATTTTTTTAATTTACAAGAGACTCGAATAGCCCGATAGTTTTGATATTAAGTATGATATGATGTGAAATAAGAACGAAGAATCTAAATAAGAAGCAAAGCAAAAATAAAAAGTTAGATACTCTTAAACACGGCTAGCTAGCTAGAATGAAAGAAATTGCATAGCATCACTCCAATTCAAACCTGAAAATTTTGAAAACCTTAAAAAACACGTCTGTACTAGCTTTGAATTCACATAACTTCGCCATTTAATGGAAGTAAATAGTCAGGCGAGAAACCCCCCAAGTAAACATTGATCTGAATTGTTTTCCTGGACCATTTCTGATTAAGTCTTAGATCAGATAAAACCCAATTCAATTGATTTTACAGCTAATATAAAAGTTAAATGCCTTTTAAATTATTTTGACGAACATTAATGATTCTCGCTCTTAATTGCTTTTCAGCTTAACATATCGACTTCAATTCGAATAACTTAACTCGGTTTAAAAAAAAACAGATCGATTTAGTTCAACTCTGTTAAATCCCACTAAAGAGTTGTTCCGATTGCCTTAGCTGTAAAAAAATGAGGGTGAAAAAGAAAGAGAGATTCTTTTACTCACTGACAGAGTGACAGTTCTTGACGCCCGCATCTCGCTTGAACACCACTCGGGGTCCCAGTGCGAATATGCTCTGGTCTTTGCGGAGGGCGTTGATTGCAGGGTGGCCCCCATAGCAGGCGAAGTAGGGACTCATGAGGGCCTGTGAGGCGGATATGCGTTGCTTGGGGTTATGGTTGAGGAACTCGAGGAAGAGGGAGAAGCCACTCGAGTCCAATCTGCAAAAAAAAATCAACCTTGACTTGAAAAAAAAGCATTTAATCGCGATTGTACAGTACTAAAAATTAAGATCTCATGTTACTTGTACAGTTCACTCCGTTGTTGAAAAAATCGAACCGACCCAAAGAAGCAAAGCAACCAGCTAAATTACAATATTAGCATGCTATTAAGATTCATTAAGTTCACGCTGACGATTAGTATTAAATAATCATCAAAATGTGCAAACACTTCCAATTTATGTTTATCTCTGTCGTAAATTTTATGCCCGCCGAATGCAATCAATACTATTTTTCGAGGTTCAACCTTTGATGCACTGCTTCTCTTAGCTTGAAAGATGCTGCAAAGCAGTGACGATGTAAAAATATATCCAACTGACCTTGGAAGATGATGACGCAACTCTAGTGCGGGCGACGAAACACTGTCGATTGCAGTCCCTGTTTTTGCATGTTTGGACTTGTAGAGACTAACATCCAGAGACGCTCTCATTTCCTCCAATTGTGTCTGTGACGTCACTGCTGCGGAGGATGCACCACCTGCGCCTCTACAGAGCAATTCTTCCACTGCATCAGGTGAAGGTACACCCATTCTCTCAAAGATGAGCTCTAACTGTTCCTTGCCACTGTTTCCGGCGAAGAGAGGCCGACCAGTGCACATTTCGTACAGGATACAACCAACACCCCTTAAATTCAACAGTAAAGAAATTAATAAACGTCTTGTAGTCTTTTAATACCATTTTCAAAAACCAGGTCCGTTAAATCGCCTCCTGCTGAAATCCATACCACACACTGGAAGAATTAATTATTCGAAAACTTCTCAAAATGATCCCTGATTACTCTAAATTGATGAAGATACGTAAGAAAAAGTAAACCAAATACTTCAACCAACATTTACATGAAAACCATAACTGACTGAAAGCTGACTAAACAGTATTTCATGCACTTAGTGGATCAACACGATTAACCTGAAATATCACGCTGAGCTGTCATCCCTCGCTCTAATTCAAAGAGCTAGTGTTGCGGAAATGAATTAACGATCGAGTCTAATTGCCTCTTTATACCATAAGTCGACTAAGTCGAACCACCCCTATGCCGTACCCGCTATTCTTGATTCTGATGCTATGAGACACCAGCAATGCTAGAAACACCAGGAAAACCATAAAATGGTAAAACTACAAACTACAGGCGAATTTAAGAGCCACTAAAAATGAGGTCAAAAAGCTCATCTATTCGACTCGAACTGCAAAATCCAAGTGTATACATATAGGGCAACAAAAGCCTAGCCAGAAAAACAGATGTAGCACAATAACAAACGAGTAACACTGCATGGTGAAGGGGTCAAATTTCTGAGGTAATTTAGAGGGAAGGGTGGTGGGGGCAGGGGAGACTTGGCTAAGAACAAAATAAGCTGCTTACCACATATCGATGGACGAGTCATAATGAGTTGAGCCCAATAGCACATCTGGTGGTCTGTACCATAAAGTGACCACTTCGTTGCTGTATGTCTTCGTGGGTACACTCTTCGCTCTGGCTAGTCCAAAGTCTGCCAGCTTCAGTTCTCCCCTGTCGTTTATGAGGAGGTTCTGCGGCTTCAAGTCTCGATGGAGAATACGCCGTTGGTGACAGAAGGAAAGACCTCGAAGAAATTGCACTAGAAAAAGCTGAAACGAGCAGATAATTAATACAAAAAATGCTCGGACCAATGCTCAATAAATTTACTCAATCCCGATTTTGAAGAAATGAAACAAAGCTATGGAAAACGATTTCCATAGACCTGCAGCTTGTCTTGATAAATACGTAATGTAATGTTAACTTACCCGAATGTTGTCAGGACTGATGATGTTTTTGCACTGGTCCATGTACTGCTTCAGATCACGGTCCTAAATTATTTAATATTTAAGTAAAGAGCTTCATATCAAACTCTGATGCTTTTTCTGCAAAAAGTATGAAAGCAAATAAGCCGTAAGCCTTAAAAGTAGGCAAAATAAGGTAAAAATTGTGATAGCATGATATAGATGATACATGAGTTATAAAAAAAGTACTAACCACATACTCGAAGACCAGAGTGAGCACTTCGCCCGTGTGAATTATGTCATGCAGAGTGACTATGTTGGCGTGCTTCAGATTCTTTAGCAGCGACACTAGAACAAACACAAATATACACTCTTCTAATCACGAGACCTCAAAAAACGTTTACGAACAAAAATTTGACCATTGAACGACAGTCTAATTAGAACATATTTTACCCAAAAAGAACTCTCAGAAGCAGCTTTAAATTGATTGCTTTTTGCTTGCCCAGAAAAACTGCCAAAGATCCAAGCAGCTCATAATAAAAAGCACAGAGGGAATTCTCGCTAAGCTAACTTTCCCATTTTAATTAGGTTTATGAAACATTCTTCATTTGTTCAAGCCAGCTTACCTTCTCTGATGGCGGTACAGGGAGCTCCCTCCTCGTGTTCCAGTCGGATCTCTTTCAGGGCCACTAGATTCTCCGTCAACAGAGATCTGCCTTTGAACACGGAGGCATACGTACCCTACAGCAACACAAGTTTAATTAGGCATGAATCCTTTAACAGTTCATGGACGGCAATGGCCAGTTCAATTAGTTCAAAATCTAGTCATCCAACTGCTGGCATGAAAAAAATCAGGGACATATTAATTTAAGCTTACGAGCTATTGGCTTTCCATTTATTCAAAGGATATTGTAAAAATTAAATTCAAAAGAATAACGTCGTAATAAAATTAAGACACCCAATGGATTAAGATAACGCTTTGATTAAAATACAATCCAATCCTCTTTAACTTTAAAACAGCAGACTCCAGTGACCTCCAGAAGGTTTAAAACGACAAACTTGATAGGCGAAGAACAAGCATTAATAGTGGACGAGTAATCATTGACTAACTAGGGGTATTCAGCCCACTGCCAATATATTTCAATGGTAACCTATAGCAAATGAATATAATGGAACCTTACCTCGCCTAGCTTCTCCAACTTCTCGTAGGAGGTGATTCTGCCGAAGCCCAGTTCATGGAGCGATTCCCTTCTGGACTGGCGACTGATGGGCTGGTTGGAGAACAGGTTCGTGTTGCGGGACATCTGCTTCACCACTTCGGGACTCAACTGCATCGTGGCCGGAAGTGACAGACGCTTGTTCAGATTCTAAAACCAATGTCAGTCTCAAGAAAGATAACAAATAAACAACTTTTTGCGTGCTGTTTTGGAATCGATCAATCATTAGCTCTTACTCACTTCAGAGAACATCAACAAGATATTGCAACTTACCCTTTGAGTGATTGTTGTCAATTCAATTTCAACTAAACCTTGATATGTACCATGCCATGTCAAAACTTGTGACTTGACTTTTTTAAAAATTTTTGGAGGCCCAAGTTTGGAAATTTTCTTACCGTAATTTTTCCGCGATAAAGGCTTCAAGGGAATTTTTTTGGTTCCTTTTCCAGTTTGGCTTCCGAAAAAGGATGTAGCATGAAGGTGTAAGTTTGAACCGTCAAAAAATGGTTGTTTTATAACTACCTAATGATTAAGGGCTATCATAAAAGACTATTTGATGTACTAATTCACCAGGTTGAGACCGTAATTAAAGGAGTTAATACGGGCATCAAAGAGTTATTATGACATAGTTTAATCTTCGAGTTGCAAGGAGTTAAAATAAAATCAGGAAATTGCGAATGACAAACAAAAATATATAAAATACAGCTATTTCACACTTAACAGTTAACTAGCAGGCCATAAATAGTTTCGAAACTTGATCCGAACAAATAAATTTGAGAAATGGTGTTATGAAGAAGTCCAAATCAAGAAACATCGGCCCACCAAATATCGGATAAATCTTGATAAGTATCGAATTGTCCACTCCATCGCTATTTTCAAAGACCAAAACACTCATTAGATTAAACAAGACTCCTGCACATTCTCAACTGTTCTAGCCAGAAGAACCAACTTCAAAGGTTTGGACTACAAAAAAGGTAGGTACATGTCACAGTTACCAGATAGCGGCAATCTTTGGCTGAATCGGAATTTGGAAACAGCAAAATTAATTCAGCTTCAATGCATGGACAGAGCCAATAGACGGTTAAAATGCAGATCATTAACGAAGAATTTTTTCGAAATTCGAAGTCAGATAATTAGATCATTCTGAGTTCAAAACTTCTGTAGCACAAAATTTTTGTGCAAAAAACCAATTTCAACTTTAAAAAAATATATAAAATATTTTGAGGATTAACATTTCATTGAATATTTCTAGTTATTTTAAGAAAAAAACGCAAACTGTTATTCATTACCAAATAATGAGTAATCTGTCTGTATTTCTCCGCGTGAAGTACTCTCAATGGACGCGACGGGTTGAAATAATTTAAAATTCAGATCAGATCTCAATTAGAGACTCTCTTTATTCAACCAACATTCAGTTTCACACATTCCTCTGGTTCACAAGGAATTACCAATAATAAACAGAAGAAAAAGGATATTGTTAACGCACCCCCCTTAATACAAGAGGGAGGGAACTCCATGCGCATTCAAAAATCATATATAGTTAACCATTGGATTTGTTCATTATCGGGATGAATATCTTTACTAGGTACCATGGGGAGGATTGTTAACAAGATCCGTAAAAGAATAATCAAATCAAAGAACAACTCCTACAACAAAAAATGAGAAGTAATTTTAACCAATTTGCATTCTCTGATTTGTTTTCAGTTTCATAGATAATGCTTTAATCAGCGAGTGAGTCTATACGCTAATGGTGCAAAATTGAAATGTCAGGCCGATCAATTTTGTGAACCTTTCTTTCATTTTTTTTCACAGTCAACCACAGGGGCAATTAGGTGTGCTGCTACCGGAAATTAAGCATGCAAAGAAGGATTTTCATCTCATTAAAAGTTGGATCACTTTTTTTTCAAAAACAGCCATGAGCTGAGATTCTGCTTTTAAAATCAGACTAAATGTTAAAATTTATGCGAAATGGTTATGTGCATTTGTATAACGTATAGATACATACCAGATCCGGTGGTAGAGCAAGCAAATTTCCGTTATCCGAATGCTTTAAATACATAAAATGTTCTTTTCATTAAAAACATCCGCAAATAACTGATAATCTTCTTCCTTTTCCCACTATTTATTCGGTATTAATTTTTATGTAGTCGAATTTAGAGACCAATTTTTGTTCTAAGGTAAAAATTAATCCGCATAAATAAACCCCTCTGAGAACGAAATTTACTCCAAGTTGTCAATACTATTCAATCCAACTTCAGATCTGGTGGACCAAAAACTGGTCAAATTGATAAAATAGGGATGAAAACTAGTCTAACAATTTTGACGGAATTATGAGGGGGAGCTGCGTTATCTGCCACAAAGGATATGAATACACCATCAAAGTGAACTAAATCTGTTTGTAAATTTTCATTACACAAAGGGATAGCTCCCGGTTCTGCCCAAATAAAATAGGGACTGAAAATTATATTCATTTGATCTCCTTGCCGCGTAAATAACGTGTAATTGTAAATTGGTTTGAAATATCCGTTGCAAAAATTTTCAAACCTACCAACGAGTAGCGGATTTAGGATGAGACGCGAAGCGAAGCCCTCTTCCCCTTCAGAAACTTGACACCCTCAGTTTTTAAAGGGTCCCTCCTATGGTACTTTTTATCGACATCAATTTTCAATCAATCAACACCTAATTTTTAAAAGCTCCTTTAGCGTCAAATTTTTTTTTACTTTATAGGAGATTTTGTTACCCATTTAACTCAAATAAGCCGAAAACTTTAGAAAACCTCTCATTCACATAAATCCTAAACTTGCCTGGTGTGAATTTACCTTCTGCAAATTTTAGAAACAACCTAACAGAAGTGTTGTAAAAATTCTACGAATAATCTAAGCGAGGGTATGAAAGAGTAAAAAATATATTTAATCCAAATTGCAGATTTCATTAAACAAATTATCGAAACACACCAAGCAAAAATCGAAAAGTGATTTCAAAGCTTCAACTCAATATTTCAAGGAAAAGGAAAATTATTCAGAAAAATGAATGCAGGTGAGATAATTTGAGCAGAAAAGAATACGTCTACACCTTGTTTAATTTGGATTATTAGATACCTTTTCCTTTTCCTTCATTGCCCATTTATATTTAATGTCTAGTCTAAAACACTAAAATCAAGGGCATGCATTTTTTGCAGAACAGCACTTAGCAGAAAATATTACATAGAAAATAGTCTTCGTGTCTACCGACAAGCCTTTTACTTCATATAATCCAACAAACAAGTATAAAAATCAATTTCCTGAAATATTTACATTTCAGCAAAGTAATGAAGTTTCATTCCAACAAAAAATTGATTCTCCGCGATAAGCCTGCTTTGATAGCGCAGAGAAATCCTTTTGAAAATTCCTTTCAACCATTTATGTAGAAATTTTCACTTTTTGAATTCCATTTTATTAACACTCCATCTCCGTTTAGAACTCAGGGGTCTATATTACTTGCACCCTGAAATCTTCCTTCAAACAATGCATATTCATTCAACAAAAGCAATCAAAATCGAATTTAGAATGATCTTCTACTTTCCAACTTCTCGACCTTCGGCTATCTGAATGCATCAAAAAATGCTCAACTTGGCTGCAAAATAAATAATCTAGGAAATGGTTTTACTTATGCTGGGAGGGAGTAAAATACCTTTTCCGCCTAAATAGACTTTCAGGACCCGCAAGACAGGAACATAATTTTAACTCGAATATAAACGGAGTGAGGTGTAAAGAAAACACAGCAATGCATAACCATTTTCTGATTCGAAACTGTGCTAGAATTCGTATGTTTTCTTCAATTAACTCAGGCCATATGGTACCCCTATTAAAACCATGTTTAGATAGGCTGCTGAATCTACTAAGCAACGCCGCATTTTAGAATAAAAAGGAAATAAAATATCACCAATTAACAAGAATTTATTTCTGAACAGTTAGAAGTAAAATCAAACTAACTTAGTCAACAGACAGTTGGACTCAATGAACTCGAGAAACTTAATGAACTCAAAAAATTGTTATAGAACCTTTTTCAAGAATCTTTTATGATTAACAACTTTTTGATATAACTAACCCGATTAGAGAAAACCGTATCAATTAGTATTTATATTAAGCTAAACCTAAATACTTGGAAACTTGAATTCAATGACGTTTTTTTGGCGCCATTTGAGCGTTTGTATTTGGAACGCGTATTTTGCCTTTCTTTCAGCTAATGAAATTCACTTGCACTTAGGAAGAAACTGTAACATACATGAACCGTCAAAGCGCGAAGAGTCAAATCTAGCGTGTCAACTTTTAAAACTTTTCCCGAAGAAAAAATGGAAAGAAAATCAGCACGACTTCACATATCCGTTTAGCAGAGAAATTGCGTTTGTGGAAAGAAAGCACCATTTCATTTCTATGAATTGCAGAGGATCTGCCAAAAGACTGCTAACCTGTCCAAGGAGAATATGCATTTTGTAAATTTCATGTAATGTTATCGCCTTAAAATAATTTTCGACAAAAAACATTTTTCTATCGTTGGAACATGTTAGAACATTACCCAGCCCAGAAAAATAACCAAAAAAATTGCATGTAGATATTAAACAGGGGCAAAACAGCGGTCCTCTGTGAAGAGCTGAACAGCTGGCATGTTGGTTCTTTCCCTTGTGGATAAACCGTCTTCAACATTCTTAAACTTGCAGTTAATCCAGAGATAATAACAAAACTACTGCTAATAATTTATTTCAAAATAACTTACTTCTCTGAGTAGGTTAGCGCTTCCTTTATTGTTCCTGAGTCTCACTGGGGAATATTTCTGCTCAATTGAGTTCGAACTACCTCCCGGTGGAGTCGAGGGGTCCGAGATATCCACGATTCTGAGCGCCGAGAGCCGAGCAGTCGGTATGCAATCCCTCATCTCCGCTGCAGCTGGCAATTCCGATTGGGCTATGGTTTGGTCTTGTGGATCAACACTTGAACTTGCTACCATTGTGTTGCTACCAATTGGGTTTGAGTTCGAGCCCGGTCCGCAACCCTCGCTGGATCCGTAGCCAGACGAAGCGGCCGAACTTGAGTGCCGACTGTCGTTTGAACCACCTGAATTCTCTAGTGGTGAGTCTACGAAAGTGACTCGCACACTCGGTGATTGATGTCCATTTCTTAGTTCCAGTTTATTCGGCGCGGCTATGACATTAGTCACTATTATTCTATTGTTTTCTGTCTGTTTTTGTAATTTATGATGTTGGTTAGCAGTCGCGATCTGTTCTGAAATGAGGCTATTTTTGTTTGTTTTGACAGTTTGCTGATCTGAGCTTGCAAGTCTGCCAAGGTCTATTTGGGGCTCAAATTGGGTCGCCGAGCGTGACTTTGAAGGTGTGCTATGTCTAGTATTGTAGTTTTGAGAAGATCCGTTGTAGCAACTTTTGCTTGCTTTCAGAGCACCGTTCGAATCTAAAACATAAAGTTGCCCTGTTTATAGTTATACTGATCAGTTAATGCTTCTGCTATTAGACGAAACTTATTACAACCTGTAGTAAATTTCGACAACTTAATCCTATCAAATTCATACAGCAGCTATCAAAACCTTGAAAGAAATGATTAAACAAACACGGGCGATCTTCATTATAACTATGATTTAAAATATCCGTAAGGTTTGGCTTTGAAGACAATTATATTGCATGAGGGACGCTTGCCCAAAATACAAGTACAGAATTTTACAGATTGGACTATGAGAAACGAATCTTGTTGATTGATCACTTTCATAGCATGTTTGTTCATTCGGTCGAAAAGACCGAATCACACTTTTGTAACTGAAATCAAATAAACCCACAATTTTTTCGATAATTTTACCAATGTGCCATACTTTCAGAAAGCCATATAATGAAAATGAACATATCCTTGTTTGCTTGTCAATTCTTAAGTAGAAAAATGTTTGTTCTTAAAAGTTGAAGTTCAAACCGGTTCAAACAGTTCAATTTTCAAGGATAGATCGACGGTAATACCGATGCGGAAATAGAAAAGGTACAAACGATTTGTTGCTTAGTTTACAGGGAACAAGCGCCAAGGCAAAACTGGGATCTCTAAATGCATTTATATATGATCAGTTTTTCTAAGTTAGTTTGAAACTTGAGCTTTTTAATTGCTCAATAATTTGTTTTGGATCTCTTAAGTTATCCCATTTTTACAAAAGGAAGAGATTCGTTACTATGTAAAAAATTCTCAAATTCTTGACCGTTGAATTATTTCTTCATAGGGGGAGATTGTTACTACCATAGGTACCATAGGAGGGAAAATAGATAAATAAATCAATTGTTTTGGGATAGTCAACATTAGTGACTACAGACTAGACGTTACATCATTTGAGAACTTCGAAACCAGCTAACTCATTTTCACCAGACAGTGAATTTACAAAGATATAAATGAACGTTTCAAATAAAAACTTTGTATTTGACATAGGTTATGTAGCAGCAAAACAGATATTAAACCGCATAGTTGAAAATTTTCGACCGAAATGGCCATTAATTGCACATGTTGGAAGTGGTGGCATCATTTAGGCGCCCCGTTGCTTACTTTATATACCAACGGCACACAGATTTCAGTTACAACCGGCATGAAATAATTTATAAATGCACTTATTCACTTCTGTTATAGCAATACACTCATTCGGTTTTGTATGCCAATTTGTTTTTTGACAGATCATTTCACGCTCAATGCCACAGTCTTTGGTTCAGAGCATGAAAATGCATCTAGCAGCTATTTTGAACAAAATTTGGCCTTTCAAGAAAACCAAAGCACAGTCTCCCGGTAATAAACTTAAAAGTCTTTTCATTTCGCATCGTTGAATGTGCTTCAAATAGCTTCTAAGTTATAAATATAATTATCTCAGGGCATAAAAAAGTAAAACAAATTAAATATAGAGGCGAAGCTGCGCTTCACAAACACAAGCGAAGAAAATGCAAAAAAGAGCTCCAAACAGGCAAAACAAAGTGAAATAAGGAAAAAGAAGATTAAAAATACACCTTGAGAAAAAAATTTGAAAATAATTTTTTAGACTAGGAGTATCACGTTCTCACATCTGCTCCACGACCGTTTGTAATTTTACTAACACCAGCCACCAATAAAGCAGCAAAAAATTGAGCAAAAAAAAACTATTTCTATGCTCCGGATTTGAATCTCCGACAGGATGATTAGTAGTGTCACTCACGTCCTCGCATCTGCAGCACGGTTGCTTCGAAGTAAGTTAGAAGCCCCGCTAATGCTGGATGCACCGTTTTAATGTTTTTAATCTTTTATTGAATTGGTGCGGAAATGCGTAGTTTTTAAAATGGACTTGACGCAAAAGCTTAGCAATTTCTCTGCTTAAAAAGGAGGATAGCAGCTTATTTAAAGGAGAAAACTAATAATCGCTCTTTCAATTGCATTCTTTATCTCAGATTGACTGAGCAGTTTTCGAAATAAGTGGAAAAAATTTCAAAAACGATCAAAACAATCAACAATCTAATTTCGAGCGAGTATTGTGAGCGAGAAATGCAGTTAGCGTATTTCTATTTTAAGCTTAGCGTTACTTTACTTTTAATTTATTAATTCTCACTATTGAACTTTTCACATAATTCATTCAGCCTTTAAAACCAAGAGTAATTAGAGCAAAAAACAGAGCAACAACGAAAACGGCAAACTAGAAAATAAATCAACGCACAGGTGAAAGTGAGCTTCGCACCACTAGCGAAAAAAAAACTTTATGCCAGTGATAGAGCAAAAAAAAATATGAAAAACTTCAACATATTTTTCAAAACCCTTTCAAGATTAGGGGCGATCGGCCCATTTTCTAACATACTTATATTTCCTAAAAGCTTAAATAACAAATTCTACGGCGAAGCTTACACGACAAAAAAAAATGCCTACAAACAATAGCCCTTCCATTAATTTTTAGATATTTTCAGCTCGCAAAAAGTAAGCGCAGTGGCCGGAATCGAAGCCCACACCTTTGTTGTCCAAAAAATGAACGTTACCTCAGCACTAGATGTGCAGAATTAAATGTTGGCCGCGAAATGATTAATTTTCAAGCTTCTGTTAGAGATATTGATTATAGTTGAAAAAGTATTTATTTCAGTATAATAACCTTTATCTCGAACGTAAAAAACCTAAAAAAACGTTCGTACCTTCAGTGATCGTTTCCTCAATGGTTCCATGGAAACTGTTCGAGCTTTGCCTCCCGTAAAACTCCGCCCTCTTATCACACTTGAGTCCATTCTCATTCCACTGTTCTGCGCCGCCCGTCCTGCTCGGGGGGTCATATGTTGTATTCATGGAATAGCAGGATCCATCTGGTTCGCTTATGGTCCAGTTTTCAGCTATAGAACTCAAATTGGGGTCATCTTTGGAGTGAAAGGTGAAGGAAAGACGTCTTTTGAACTTCTTTGCAAAGTTCTCTATGGCTGCCATTTTTCGTCTGATTTTGAAAAACTCCAAGAAAAGAAAAAGTATCCAACCGAAGTTCAACGATAGTTAACCAAGTTTGCGCTGCAGGTATTAATGTTCTAACTGATATAGATGAAATAAACTATGTCAACTTTGATAAATGCGCTAATGTTTTAAATCAATATAAAGTCACAATGGATCAGAGAAAGGTGAATTTCGGAAGATAAGTTTGTCGACCCTGAAACACTCTTGAGTCGGTGTGTCGAGTTCAATGTCATAGGGTCAAACCAGAACAACAGTGAGCAAAGTACTGGCGTTCAAACAGCGTTGCTAGGATTGATGCATTGGCCAAATCCAAAATCACGCAATATATAATCATATGCCTATATAATAAACTAATATCGCAACAATTTTGTTGTTTTTCTCAACGACTATGACCGCTACTAATTGAGATTTTTGTAGGATAATTTCGGCAATGAAATTTAGAAAACTTGTTTCATTGTGGAAATAATCAAAATGTTGAAAGTATAACAGCGTAAATTTCAGTCTCAGTATTAAGGACACTTCAGCGCAAGTAACATCAAAAATTCAATGCCCCCACGGCGTTTTGAGAAACTTCAATGCTACCTTTCAAATCAATATGTCAGAACACTGCAAATGGGTAATTATGAAGGACAGAAAAATTTTGGGTAAGGCTACCAATTCGGAAGTATTATGCCGTTGTTGTTAGGGTTGCTGAATAAAAAGTGCATTATAATGAAATTATAACTACCCTTTTAAGGCTAAGGGTTTGAAGATTGGACAATAACAATACTACGAAACCAATATGGCTATGAATCTATCTATTATATAAACACATTTCATTGTCCTAAGCTAGATATGAAGAAAACTGAAGCAAAGAAGGTCATGATTTAATGCAGAGGCGTTCTCAATTCTCTCAGATAATGAATTAGATGGTTGATTCTTAATAAGAATAATGATTAATTTCTAGAATATGAAAATAACACAAAGGTTCAATTGTGCGATGAAATCATAGCACTTATTTCGTTAACAGATGAGATCCATTAAGGCTTTTAGTCATAGCAAGCCTGAAACGACAAACAGTTATATAATAAAACTCAACACAAGAAAAACCATATTGGCATTCTCAAAAACGAGTCAAGCACAGGCAGGAATATATTACAACGAGTATTTAATTGCGGAGCCAATGTCGACTTGGTCCGACAAGGAAAGTGCATTGATAAAAAGGGTCGAAAATTGAAGCTACACAAAACCATGTATATCTATGAATTTTAAACAAAAAAAATTGAATTATCGCTATAACTATGGTTCTTTAATGCCCCTGCCTTAGTTAAAGCGGGTTTAGACTATTAAAAAGATGATCATTATTCGGACCGGTCAATTTTCAGATATCTGACGGCGATTTTCTTCTCAGACTGGTGTGCGAATGTTAAGTGCTGATCGATTTGAAGATTAAGTTGACAAGGACGAAGCTGCGCTTCGTATACGCAAACAAAAAATCCAACAAAGGATTTGAAAAGAAAATGATATGTACAGAGAAAACTTAGAAGACACCCGAACTTGAACCCCGAAATTCAGCTCTAAAGTCATTAACGTCAGTACCAAATTGGTCAAGTCTAAAAACTGATTAAGTCTGAAATCAAGTCTAAAATTTTTAAGAATCATGAGGGTACCGCAGCTAGAATAATCTAGAACAGCTATGCTGAAAATATATTGATGAATTTTCTTCAACTGAGTGAATTTTTTTTGAATTTGGTCAACTGAGCTGAGAAAACCGGTTCAATTATTAAAGTTTCATAATGCTGCTAGGATTCCAAAACTAATGAAAATTTCAAAAAACACTAGCCGCATATTTGAGCAATTTCTACTTTCGCTATAGTGCGTAACTTGAGCGGATTCAAGAAAACTGCTAAAAAAGGAGATTCAAACTACGCAACATACGACGACTGAACCATTATCACAAGAGTTGAAACCATTTACACAAGAGTCTAAATCGCGGCTGAAAAACTTGCCACCAAATAAACATAGCCAACTGACAAGTTGGAAAAGAGTAATGAACGCAAGGAAACAGAAAACCGTCTTCAACTTTTGAATTTCAAAGAAAAAAAATTGATGGCCTTAGAGCTCTTTGAATTTGTAGAACAACTTATGATGGACACTTTTTTCAGAAAACAGGATCAATACGTATAACTTTTATTTGGCTGGATAATCTGACAGTTAATTTCCTTCGAAATTAGAAATCGATCACGTTTTTCGTCACCTTTACAATTTCGCTGCTCGATAGTGGAGCTTGCCTTCCTTTTAACAATAAAAATGAACTGAACTTAACAAGAAATCACAATTCAAACCCCGAAAAATCAAAAGTTAGCGTGAACAAATCATAAAAAAAATCAGCAAGACCTATATCAGAGTACTCACTACGCTCATTACTCGTAAAAACAAGTTTCCCATGCTAGCTCTTCTACCCGAACCCATCATCAATCAACTTTTCATGACCGTTACAAAACAGAACAAATTTCACCTAAAATGAGTACAAACCTGAACAAAACGTTTGAGGATTCGGCCGATACTTCAAAAACTAAAATCAACTTTTGAAAAGAGCATTCAGCGTCAGTGCCAATTTCACGTCTAGACCCTAAATTTGCCTATCAATTGGAAGGTTCAGTTAACTGGAACAAGGCTGCGCTTTGCATATGCAAACAAAAAATCGTAAAAAAATGATGAGAAAAAGACGTATGCAGAAAAAACTTAGAAGACAATTGAACTCGAACCCCGAAAGCTCTGCTCAAAAATCACTAATCTCAGTACCAAATTGGCTTGCATTCATACATTAATTGCTTTATTTAGGCAAAGCTGTTAGTAAAACAGACTTGAGTCTAAGATTCCTCATCTTTCTCTGAGAAAGACCACCCAGACAAAAATAAATCAGTTAGTTCGTTGAAAAAAAACATTCTGAAGGAGCCAAGGGGAGTCTTCAAATTTCTGAAATCAAGTCTAAAAATCGTAAAGTTGCCGCAGAAATTTTCAATTAAACTAGCTATGCACTAATCGTCTTGCCGGTTTATCTTTAACTTAGATCATTAAAACTTGAAAAAACGAATGAAAAGACGAGCTTATTTTTTTTGAAGGCTCAAAAAACATTACAGTATTGAGAAAAAAAAGAAGTCAAGAACAAATTTCTGTTAAAAATTTCTGAGTGAATTTTTGTTAGTTTAGTTTAGTCGACTGAACGGAGAAAACCGGGTCAATAGCTAGTTTATTATGTTGCTAGGATTCCTAAACTTAATAGTTTTTCGAAAAAAAAAACACTAGCAGCACTTCTGAGCTATTGCATTTTTCGCTCTCGTAGTGCGGAACTCGAGCTGTCTTTGGAAAATTGTTACCAAAAAAGGGATTCAAATTACGCAATATACGTCGAAATTTCGGATGCTGGCTATTCTACCCGATCCCCATCTATATCAAAGTTTTCGTGACAGTTACAACAACAGATTTCACCTAATATGAGTACAAACCTGAACAAAACATATAAGGGTTCGGCCAGTGCTCCAACAATTTAAATCAATTTTTGAAATGAAGATGCGCCGTCAGTGCAATTTTGACCCAAAATCTCAATCGATTTGAAGGTTAGGTCAAGCGGGACGAAACTGTGCTTAATATATGCAAACAAACAAAAAAACAAAAAAAAAGTTTCGAAGAGAAAAATATGTATATAGAGAAAACTTAGAAAATACTTGAATTCGAGCCCAAAAACTCTGCTCAACAACAACTAAGCTTAGAAGCAAATCGGCTTGCATTCACTCTTTAATTGCTTCATTTAAGTAAAGCTGTTAGTAAAACAGACTTGAGTCTAAGATTCCTCATCTTTCTCTGAGAAACACCAACCAGACAAAAATTAATCAGTTAGTTCATTAAAAAAATCCAAAAAGCAAGAAGGAGTCTTCAAATTCCTGAAATCAAGTCTAGAAATCGTTAAGTTGCCGCAGCAATTCTCAGTTAAATTAGCTATGCACAAATCGTGTGGCTGATTTTTCAAAGTTTGATCATAACAACTTCAACAAAATAAAATAAAGGAGAAGCCGAGCTTGTTTTTTTGCAGGCACAAAACGAACCATTATAGCATTGAAAAAAGAATTCACACTGAGTGTCATGAAGTTTCTGAGTGAAACACTTCTTTAGCTTAGAGCAAATCGGGTCGATAGTTGAAGTTTCATCATGCTGATAGGATTCCAAAACTAAATTACTTTTCAAAAAACCTCAAAAGCACTTCTCTTCTATTGCTTTTTTGCCTTCGTAGTGCGTAATTCGAGCTGCACTTTGATAACTGCTACCAAAAAATAGATTCAAACTACGCAATACACGGCGACTGAGCTAATATCACAAGAGTTGAAATCATTTACACACGAGTCAAAATCGCGGCTGATAAATTTACAAACAAATAAAAAACCAAATTTCGTATGCTGGATCTTCTACACGACCCTCATCAACAAAAAAGTTTTCATGACCGTTACAAAACAACAGATTTTAACTAATATGTGTACAAGCCTGAACAAACGTATCAAGATTTGGCCGGTAGCTCAACAATTTAAATCAATTTTGAAATGAAGATGCACCGTCAGTGCCATTTTTACGTTAAGACCCTAAATTTTCTTATCAATTTGAAGGTTTAGTCAACTGAGACGAAGCTGCGCTTTGCATATGCAAGCAAGAAACCCAAAAATGATTCGAAGGAAAAAGAAGATGTATAAAGAGAAAACTTAGAAAACACTTGAATTCGAAGCCCAAAGCTCTGCTCAACAGTCACTGAGCTAGGAACCAAATTAGATTGCATTCATTCAACAATTGCTTCATTTCAGCTAAGCTTTTTATAAAGCAAAGATTCAAGAATAAAATGCCTCATCCTTCTCTGAGAACAACAACCAAAACTCCTGAAGCCAAGTCTAAAAATTGTAAAGTTGCCACATCAATTCTCATTTTAATTAGCTTTGCAATAATCACATTGCTGCTTCTTCTTCAAATTATATCATTAAAAAACTTCATAAAATAAAACAAATGAGAAGCCGAGCTTGTATTTTGAAGGCACAAAAAAAAACATAGCATTCAGAAAAAAGTCAAAAACAACTTTCTGATAATAATAATTTTTCGAAATCTGCGTGTTACTTTTCCTGGAACATAATAATCCATCAGCCTATAGGTCTCCCCTGATTGCCAAGAAGTTGGTGTGAATTTGTCTCACTTTAGTCGAATGAGCTGATGAATCCAGGTCAATTAAATTTTCATTACGCTGCTAGGATTCAAAAAAACATATATTCCAAAAAACATTAGCAGCACATCCGTGACATTGTTTTTTTTCGCTCTAGTAGTGCGTCACTTGATCTGCATTTAGAAAAGTGCCAACAAAAAGCAGATTCAAACTACTTAATATACGGTGACTGAGACAATATTACAGTCGAAAACAGTTACGCATGAGTCGAAATCGCGGCTGATAAATTCAAAACCAAATAGTAAGCATTTTTTTGATACCGGCTTTTGTACCCGACTCCTGTCATCAACAAAATTTTCATGACTGTCAGAATACAGAACAGATTTCATCTAATATGAGTACAAACCTGAACAAACCGTGCGGTAGTTCAACAATTGAAACCAAATTTTGAAAGAAAAATGCAACGTGCCATTTTGCATCTTCTTTAAGTGCCATTTGGACGTTCAAACCTTGATTTTGCTTATCGATTTAAAATTAATTTGCTTGGAATGGAGCTGTGCTTTGCATTGGCAAACGAAAAATCCAACCAACTAATTTGACGAAAAGTAGTACACAGTGAAAACTTAGAAGACACTTGGACTCCAATTCCGACACTCCGCTCAAAAGTTACTAACGTCAGTACCAATTTGGCTCACATTCATTCATAATCATCACTATTTAAATTGCTGATTTGTCTTTAACTTACATCATTTCAACTTCAAGAAAACAACACAAATGAAAAGCCGAGCTTGTATCTTCTAGGCACAACAGAAAACCATTGATATTAACTTTCTGAATAATCAATCTTCGTTTTTTATGGAACATAATATTCCACCAATCTATAGCTCTCCGATGATTTTCAAGAAACTTTAGTGTTTTTTTTTTCAATTTATAAATCGACTGCGCTGAGAAAACTGGTTCAAAAGTTGAAATTACACTATGCTACCAGGGTTACAAAACTGATTTTCAAAAACACTATAGCACATTTGCGGTATTTCTACTTTCGCTCTCGTAGTGCGTAACTGGAGCTGCACTTATAAAACTGCTAACAAAGGGGAGATTCAGACTACGCAAATTATATAATATGGCATATCGAAACCATTACGCCCAAGTCAAAATAGCGGCTGAAAATTTACAACCAAATAAAAAATTAATATTGACCAGAACGAAAGAATCGCAAAGGAAGTTGCACCACGAAAGACGACAGCGGAGCTGTGTGCTACTAAAACGAATGACTCCGATACAAATTAACTACAATTAAGTTGATACATTTCGAAAATTGAAGAAGAAATTAAACTTAAAAATGAAACACCATTTATTAACATAATGTATATTGCGTTAACTTTTGACATAGAAAAACTATCTAAAGTGTATTGAAAAATTAATCACATAGAAACTTGCTTTCGGACAGTACTAGAAAAACTGTAGCTAGTATTCTCCTTACAAAAACTGTAGCTAGTATTCTCCTTACAAAAACTGTTTGAAGAAACTTTGTGTCGAGTGTTGAAGTTGTAGGTCAATCAATTCTAGAAACAAAACGAGAAAAAAAAACGCAGCAGTTTAAAATTTTGCACCAAAAAATCACTCATCAATTTTATTTTATAGAACTCTTTGTTGTTTTCACAACGATACCGTATCAACATGCAATTGAAACTGTATTCAACACAAATCAAAATATTCTGACAAAAAAACTTAGCAAAAATCAATATTTCAAAAAAGTATCGACAAAAAATCTTGCCCAACATCTATCGGCCAGCAAAATTTGTCCCAAACGTCTGGGACAAAATTTTCTCAATCAAAATGAATTTTTATCCACAGAGACGAAGTTGAGCTTGTCACCACTTGCGATTCAATTAGATTTACCAGATTACTGAAGATTGTAGTGAAAAAAAACATGTCCAACAAAAGAATGCAAAATTAGCATCGAAACAAAATTAAGCAAGCGGTGACAAAGCCGAAAACACCAGAGCAATTTCTTCCAAACGAATTTGTTTTAATTTAAAAAAATTAACGTTTTACATCCCCTTTACCCTCATAACTCATATAGGCACACAAAAGCTAAAAACTTTTTTTTCGAGAATCATACGATGCATAAAACAAGCCAATCTTATTACGCTAACAAAAAATATTTTAATAAAGGAAATTTCAAGAAACCGGATTGGTGACGAAGCCGATAAAAAATAGACCGAAATAATTTGGAGCGAATATAATTTTTAGGCAAAACAAAAAAGGGAAAAACAAAGTCAAGGTAAAGTAAAATTAGAAATTGCATGAGTAAATCATACATTAATAGTAACATTTGAGAAAAATGCGCGCAGCAAAAAAACGATTCCAAGATCTGACAACTAAGCCAACAAAAGATAAGGAGACAAAAATTGGTCAATTTTGTTTTGAACAGAATATTTCATGTTTAAAAAAAACAGCTCCTGGTCAGATTCAAATCCAGGACTTTTGGAACAGAGTACCGCTAGAGAGTGAAAATTGACAAGAAACTAAGCTGACTGAATTTGACAGAAATAGGTTCATTTACGAATACAACTGATTAAAACCTTAATAAAATATTTTAGCCGGATTAAAATGAGCACGTGGAAAAACTCGATCTTGGAAACAACGCCGATTAACTCGAAGCTGAAAAACAAACAGACCAAAACACACTAGTACTGATATTCTACGACTAGCTGCAGATCAATCGAAAAAAAAAGGTTAATAAAAATGGCTGAAACTAATGGTACTCAATTACTTGCACCATTAAGAAAGTTAAAAATGGCATTTTGAAGCCTATTAAAAAGCTGTGCCTTTTGAAAAAGCCTGCACGGCGGAACTAAGCCAAAAAAATAAGCAGAAACAATCATCTTTAAAAAATTTGTCCCGAGCACACTCAAACCCTAGGCACTTGTCGTCCCAACCAATAGCGTGGGACAAATGAGTAATTGAATTTGATTTTACTATACAGCAAACTGTAACACGCGTAACATTCTCACGTGCTAATTCTCTGAACAAAATTTCAGCGGGAAAAAAGCCTAGAACCATGCTTAATAGCAATTTCAAAAAAAAAATTGCGAAAAAATCTATGCTTCGATTTGATTATCGGCAAGTTAACCAACTGAAAGATCCTTATTTCACTTTTTATGCAAAACGTCGATCTGCTAAAAAGCTGTACCATTTTTAAAAAATTAGAAAGCAAATATGGATTAGATCGTAGCGAACATTTTCCTCGTCTTCAACTACATTGAGCACGAGCGGTATAGCACGCGCAGATTGGCGTTTACCGCTACTCAAATTTGAAATCGATAAAAAGTAACAATTTAAGGAAATTTCAAATTCTGGCTTTAAAATGTCTCTCAAACCTGCCTTAACACCACGTTTAACATTAAATGCCTCGGTATTATAACTTTTATCATAGTTCTACTTAAAAATAGTTTCCAATGCAAAAGAATGTCTCTTGGCAAGTGTACATGCAACCTGAACGAAAAAAAGACAAAGTAAAAAAGCCTTACGAAAAAGCTGATGATAATGATGAGCGATGATAATGGAATCAGATAAATGTTTTTGATAAAAAGAAATGATACTTCGGGGAACAATGACCAATTTTCTCGTTGTCGCACAATAATATTAGAAAGGCGTTAGCAGACAGACGGGAACTAATAAAAAGAAGGAAAAATTGGGGTCCCCAAGGCAACGAATTATCGCGACAATGAAAACAGGAAGGGTAAAAATAGTCTCATTGATCTGGTTGCTGGTTAGATTTTTAGACTGAAAAAAGAAAAGACCGGAAAATGAACCCCTTTACCGTAATCTACTTGACGATTGTGTTCACAAAATAAACTGATGGAAAAGATTGGAGATAAACTGAACAAACTTGTAAAAAATGGTCCAACGAAAACATACAAAAAGCTGCTTACCCTTTGAGTTAAATCAAGCAGCACCAAATCAATTTGTGCTCTTCAAACCAATTTGTGCTCTTTAAAAAATTTGTCCCGAGCACACTCAAACCCTAGGCACTTGTCGTCCCAACCAATAGCACCTGTGGGACAAATGAGTCATTGAATTTGATTTTACTATATAGCAAACTGTAACACGCGTAACATTCTCACGTGCTAATTCTCTGAACAAAATTTCAGCGGGGAAAAAAGCCTAGAACCATGCTTAATAGCAATTTCAAAAAAAAATTGCGAAAAAATCTATGCTTCGATTTGATTATCGGCAAGTTAACCAACTGAAAGATCCTTATTTCACTTTTTATGCAAAACGTCGATCTGCTAAAAAGCTGTACCATTTTAGAAAAATTAGAAAGCAAACATGAATTAGGTCGTAGCGAACATTTTCCTCGTCTTCAACTACATTGAGCACGAGCGGTATAGCACGCGCAGATTGGCGCTTACCGCTACTCAAATTTGAAATCGATAAAAAGTAACAATTTAAGGAAATTTCAAATTCTGGCTTTAAAATGTCTCTCAAACCTGCCTTAACACCACGTTTAACATTAAATGCCTCGGTATTATAACTTTTATCATAGTTCTACTCAAAAATAGTTTCCAATGCAAAAGAATGTCTCTTGGCAAGTGTACATGCAACCTGAACGAAAAAAAGACAAAGTAAAAAAGCCTTACGAAAAAGCTGATGATAATGATGAGCGATGATAATGGAATCAGATAAATGTTTTTGATAAAAAGAAATGATACTTCGGGGAACAATGACCAATTTTCTCGTTGTCGCACAATAATATTAGAAAGGCGTTAGCAGACAGACGGGAACTAATAAAAAGAAGGAAAAATTGGGGTCCCCAAGGCAACGAATTATCGCGACAATGAAAACAGGAAGGGTAAAAATAGTCTCATTGATCTGGTTGCTGGTTAGATTTTTAGACTGAAAAAAGAAAAGACCGGAAAATGAACCCCTTTACCGTAATCTACTTGACGATTGTGTTCACAAAATAAACTGATGGAAAAGATTGGAGATAAACTGAACAAACTTGTAAAAAATGGTCCAACGAAAACATACAAAAAGCTGCTTACCCTTTGAGTTAAATCAAGCAGCACCAAATCAATTTGTGCTCTTCAAACCAATTTGTGCTCTTTAAAAAATTTGTCCCGAGCACACTCAAACCCTAGGCACTTGTCGTCCCAACCAATAGCACCTGTGGGACAAATGAGTCATTGAATTTGATTTTACTATATAGCAAACTGTAACACGCGTAACATTCTCACGTGCTAATTCTCTGAACAAAATTTCAGCGGGGAAAAAAGCCTAGAACCATGCTTAATAGCAATTTCAAAAAAAAATTGCGAAAAAATCTATGCTTCGATTTGATTATCGGCAAGTTAACCAACTGAAAGATCCTTATTTCACTTTTTATGCAAAACGTCGATCTGCTAAAAAGCTGTACCATTTTAGAAAAATTAGAAAGCAAACATGAATTAGGTCGTAGCGAACATTTTCCTCGTCTTCAACTACATTGAGCACGAGCGGTATAGCACGCGCAGATTGGCGCTTACCGCTACTCAAATTTGAAATCGATAAAAAGTAACAATTTAAGGAAATTTCAAATTCTGGCTTTAAAATGTCTCTCAAACCTGCCTTAACACCACGTTTAACATTAAATGCCTCGGTATTATAACTTTTATCATAGTTCTACTCAAAAATAGTTTCCAATGCAAAAGAATGTCTATTGGCAAGTGTACATGCAACCTGAACGAAAAAAAGACAAAGTAAAAAAGCCTTACGAAAAAGCTGATAATGATGAGCGATGATAATGGAATCAGATAAATGTTTTTAATAAAAAGAAATGATACTTCGGGGAACAATGACCAATTTTCTCGTTGTCGCACAATAATATTGGAAAGGCGTTAGCAGACAGACGGGAACTAATAAAAAGAAGGAAAAATTGGGGTCCCCAAGGCAACGAATTATCGCGACAATGAAAACAGGAAGGGTAAAAATGGTCTCATTGATTTGGTTGCTGGTTAGATTTGTAGACTGAAAAAAGAAAAGACCGGAAAATGAACCCCTTTACCGTAATCTACTTGACGATTGTGTTCACAAAATAAACTGATGGAAAAGATTGGAGATAAACTGAACGAACTTGTAAAAAATGGTCCAACGAAAACATACAAAAAGCTTCTTACCCTTTGAGTTAAATCAAGCAGCACCAAATCAATTTGTGCTCTTCAAATCCAAAAATGGTTGTAACACTAACTCTTTTGAGGTAATTTGAGAGAGCTGAAATTGGTATTTTTTCTAAAATTTACACAAAATTGACTTGGTGTTGTTTCTCACGCAAACATTTATTGTTTACTAAGGATACTTTAAGTTGTTTACATGAGCCCCGGGAAAAATTAACAATTCGCAGCTCGGAGTAACAGGAAGAGATCGGAGCAATGGGATAAGTAAGAACGCATTTGATAAGAAAGAGGAAAGGAATGAACGGGTTGAAAGAAGTGAAGTTTGAAACGCTCAGGGCAAATTGTTTCTGCTCCAAATTAGAGTAAATTTTCACCCAGCTCGCAAAGCGGCATGACCGCTTGCCTCTTTGATTAAATACTCAGCAGTTAACGAGGAAAAAACAATAATCTCAGCAGAACCAATTCGTAAATACTAAACTCCGAGGGCTAAATTCTCATTTTAGTTCAATTCAATTTGATCAAAATGCTTAACTCTATATCAAACTCATTCTTTAATTCACGAAAAACTAACTATGTAACACCATCTGTATATTTATCTTCTGACCTAGTAGATACCAATTCGTCCAATTTAATGATTTGGCCGCAAATATTGTCTGGTTTTTAAAAAAGGAAAAGCATCTAGGACGAATTTGGTACTTTTCAGGGGGCAGACTTAGACAGGTATATAGAATGGGAAAACATTCATAAATCCTCGATATAGAGACGAAGTGGAGTATAAATGACGGAGACAGTGCATCACATTTCTGTACCTCACAAATGGTGTCACTTCACTGCAATTCATATTCATCAGCAGAGTCACAAGGGACAAGGGGTGAAACATGAAGCTGACAAAAATGGTAAACAGGTTCTCGAACTGATTTAGACTTCTTGTTTCTCTTTTCGACCTGCGACTGCTGTCCTTGTTCCTCAAATCGCGGTACTTCTTGGTGAATTTCAGAGTAGCTTCAAACAGAACTCGAGTGAGCAGAATTTTTAGAAGATCTGTTATTATCAGCGGGACTACTCCTTTGTAAAAACCAGACAAGCCCTCTACTTTGGCAATGTGTCGCAGTCCTCCCAGAATGTTAACCCTAAACAAGTCAACGGGATTTACAAATGACCAACGCTGGCCTGAAAGATTATAATACACTAACGCTAGCAAGCGTAAATAGGACCAGGAGAACTATCTCCTCCCGTACATCAATCAAAGGTCATTTTGCTAATTAAGGGCAATTTTTCAGATTGGCCGATTATTATTGCGCTCATAGTGACAATATAGGAAACTGATATAAAAGAAGGCTCTCTATTGATCAGTTTAGAGAATTCTTGCCAAAAAAACGATAGAAAAAACCGCGGCTTCTCCCCTCCCGCCCCCTCCCAGTTTAAAAAAATTGTGTGTGTAAGAAGTGTAAACACTAATTGTAAACAAAAAATGAACTTAAACACAGAGGCGAAGCGGAGCTTCACACCACTTGCGATACATACAGCAATATCATAAAAAAAGCATGTCGAAAAAATAAAAAATGTTGAAAAACAAGTTGAACCAAAATTTTTGCATGTCTAGATGAAGGAAAACTAAAGCTCAGCTAGAGCTGGCGGTACTATTTGATACTTTTAGAATTTGTAATACTGATGCGGGACGAAAAAGTTATTTTCAAAAATTGGACTTTGACGCAAAACCTTAGTTTTTTCTCTACTAAAACAAGTGAGAAGAAAGAAAATTTTGCTTTCCCAAAAACCTTACATCTCTTACAAAAACTTATTGAGTAGTCGCTTCTGCACGAAAAATTCTCGCAACCACTTCTTTCGATTGAAATTTTTATCTCAGATTTAGTAGCGTAGTTTTTGAGAAAATTCAAAAAGTTTCTAAAAAACGGTCAAAATTCAAAAACTTGGATTTCCGAAATCCGTAATTTTTTTCTGCTAAAAGCAAGTCTTCGAAGGTAAAGTAGAGAAGGTTCCCAAAACCGGCTTTCTCGATTGAACGCTTAACCTGAGAATTGGCACGGCAATCTTCGAGTAAAGTCACAAAACTTACAAAAAAAAACTTTTTAAATTGGTAAATTTATATTCCAATGGGAAATCTGAAAATTAAATTCCACTTTCGTAATTAGTAGTCGATCAAGTTCTTTGTGACTTTTATGCTTTCAGTGTTCAATATTGGAGTTTACCTCCCTTTTAACAAAAAAAAATTGAACTGAATTTAAAAAAACTAAAACTGCGAAAAAGTAAATTAGAGCTTCCCACAACCCGTTCTTTGGATTGAACCCAAAACTTCAGATATGAGAGGTTAATTTTGATAATATTCATAAATTGTATTAAAAATGCTCAAAAATATTGACTTTTCCGGGGACGATAACTTTTTGTGTAAAAAATCCTGGCATAACCGCTTCTGCAGGGAAGCTTTTCAAGTCCTATCTATTGATTGAAACCAAAATCTGAGATTTGGTAGATTAATTTTTGAGAAAACAAAATCAAACATAACGTTCAAATACTTCCCGCACAGACTCTTTCGAAGGGTGTAGACAAAAGGGAAATCAAAAAGAGACCAGGTGAAAATGCACGCACACAAGAATGAAGGCGGATACCCTGTTTTTGAAAATCATTAGGCTTTTGAGAAAAAAAACTAAACTTTTTGCAAAAGGAGATAAAATTTTCCAAAGAGCGTCTCAAAAAAAGCAAATCCTATAGACTTTCATAATAGCTGTTTTTATTAAACCATTTTCGAATATCTATTATCGCAAACCTGTTTTTATCAAACGAAGAAGCATTTCGTAAGCATGTAAAATAATTATTCGTTTACCGCCAAAATGCATTCGTTTTGAGTTTGATTTGCTCCTTATTAAGTTTACGGTATGATCTAAGCGCGTCCAGACAATTCAGCCGATTCAAAATTCAGCCAAAATTTTGCAGACAATTCAGCCAATAATAGTGACAGCCGCAGCCGCGCCAACGTGTTGCGAGCTTGCCAACAGAGGGTAGGACTCTATATGAAATTTAGAGCCGGTTATCGCCGCGTAGCGGCGACGCGCGCGTAGCGCGCCCACCGGCGACCTTAAACCGAGTAATAACTCCAATTCCAATTTTTTTCTTCCGAATCTAGCGTTTTGTAAAGCTGGCTGAATTGTCTGTATACTTTTGGCTGAATTTTCTGAATTTCAAATTGGCTGAATTGTCTTTGGCTGAATTGCCTGTATATTTCTGGCTGAATTGTCTGAATTTCATATTGGCTGAGTTGTCTTTGGCCGAATTGTCTGTGCGCCGATCTAAGAATTACTCCGTAAAATTTTAACTCCATAATCGCTGTAAAATACAGGCAGCGAATCAGAACCGAAGATTTATCTTCAATAAAAAAAAGAGCAGTAAAAGCTGAAAAATTATGTAAGGCAGCGCTGCAAAAGGCTACAGGAAAAAATATGAACTAAGCTGCCTCATTGACTTGAGTGTTGACTCCAGCAAAGCGCTCGGAGATCTTGAAAACAAATCACTTCCGGCCAAGATGAAAAGTTCGAAAACACCAAGAAGTTTCTAGGAGCTGCAAAATCTGCTTCAAATTAGATTATGCGGTTGACAAATCCTATCCTTCGAAGCCTTTTTCGATCAGTAGCAGAAAAACTTAATCCGCGAGGAATTTGAACGAGAGAACCAATTTGATTACTTCAAGCATCAAGAAAGAAAAATTAAGTCGGCGAAACAGAAATGGCACTTGAAAGGCTAAAACGATTGAATGAGTGTTGAGACGACGAATCAGATACCGATCTTGCTATTAACAAAACCGTTCAGCCATCAAGCAGCACCCGGTTTCTCCGGGTACAACGAAAGATTGGATAAATGTCGCCATCGACAATAAATCTACAATATTAGTAAAAATATTAGTAAGGAATTTGGTCTATAGTTCCAAATTACCGCAACTGTCCATCTTATCACAACTGTTTAGGAAAAAACCTCATTCCTCATCCCAACACGTAACAAAACAACAGTACCTTCAAGACAACATCTGTGATACTTCTTATCACTCACCATTCCGCAACAACTTTCATTCCGTCAAGAGCAGCAAAAGCAATGCAAGCCCTCAGCCACTCCGACCAGCACATCCATCCATGACATCGCAACCATTGCACCCGGTTTCCATACTAGCTCCGCATTCGAGTACTCCTCAGCACTTGGGTCATTACATTCCTAACTTAAACAATTGGAGCCTGGTTCCCTCGACCTCTGAAACTGGTAATAAAACCACATTTTGACTCAGAGGTTGAGCGGAACTGGCAATATCACCCTAAAAAGCATAGCATGCTGCTAGACAGGAAAGGAAAGCCACTATGACCAACAAAAAATTGAAAACAAAACAGACAAAGAACATGTTGTCTGGAATGATGTTCTTTTTGCGGAAAACGCAATCAACGGCATTTAATGAAAATTCAAAAACACTATCGAGCGTCCAATTCGCCGACAAATTTTGGAAAAATTCCGGTAGAACCGAAAACAAAATTGTTTCATGAAAAACTTTGAAATTTTAGAATTATACTCGCAGCCCAATGTAGCAAAAGCTGCGCCTGAAAAATGACAGCATTTATCTCAAAGTGAACCGGGACAAACTTAGATGTTTGCAGCATCCGCATATTCATATGGCTGAAAGTATGGCTGGCCGATTGAATGGATCGCTGATGTATCGCTGGATTGATAGCTGATGGATGTATCGCTAGATTGATTGCCGATGGATTCATTGACGAAGGGAGCGCTGGCTAGATCTATGTATAGGAGGTTGGCTGATCCTTGGATGGATGGCTGGATGAAGAAATGGCCGAATGAATGGATGGACTGCTGGATGGACGACTTGAAAGATGGATGAATAGCTGGATAATGTATGAATCGATCGCTAGATGGAGGGATGGCTGTATGGAACGATGAATGGCAGGACGGAAGGATGGACAGGACTGCTGAATAATCGGATGGATGGCTAGTTGGAGCAATGGGTAGCTGAATAGATGGATGGCTGGAAAGATAGATGTATAGCTTGTTGCATGGATGGAGGATGGGTGGCTAGATGGAAACATGGCTTAAAGGATTGCTGGTTGCATGGTTAGATGAAAATGCTTGGATGTATAGATGCTTGGATTGATAAACAATGGATGGAAGGATGACTCATGGCTTGATAGATAGATGACTGGATGAAGGGCTGACTGTAAGAACGGATGACTGGATTGCTCAAAAATTGAATGTATGGCTTGATGGATTGCTAGCTAGATGGATGGACGGATAGATGAATGAAATGACGGCTCCAAGAACTGATGAATGGATTATGGTTGAGGGATGGTTTATTGGCTGGATGGCTGGATGAATGAACACTTTGCTGGATCAATGGGTAGATGGCTGGCTGACTGGGTACCTGAATAGATAATTGGTTGGATGGACAGCAAGATGGATGGCTTGATGAATTGGCTTTTACGCCCTGCCCCTCATCGCTCGGTCCCACTCCTGTGCTGTACTACTAGGCCTTGCACCTTCTCGCCCTACCAAGCATTCCCCCTTCTAGCCATATCCTTCAGGGCTTTGCTCTGCCTTGCGCTTCTTTGCTCTGCCTTGCGCTTCTTTACCCTACCTTGCCACTTCTGGACCGGCCCTTCCATGGTCTGCCTTGCCTTGCCCTTCTTCGCCCTGCCTTGATTTGCGCTGCCATACAGACCTTGCCGCTAGCCGTTCAGCCCTGCGCTCCGCTACCTTGTCTTGTACTTCTTCGCTTTACCCCTCCTCTCCTCGTCCTGCCTTTTTCCTCTTCGCCCTGTCTTGTCCCTCGCTGCATGGCTTTACGCTGATTTGCCCTTCTGGACCTGCCTTCCGCTGCCCTGTCCTACTTCGCCATGCTCTATTCTCTCTGCGTTGCCCTACCCTGCCTTATCCCTCCTTTTCTTGCGCTCCCCTACCCTGCCACGTCCCTCCTCGACCTGCCTTGTGCTTTTCCAGCCTGCCTTGCCACTGCCCTTCCGCGCGCTGTCCTGCCTTGCCCCACTTCGCCCTACCCAGGCCGTGTTTGACCACGCGCTGCCTTGCGCTCCCCTACCCTGCCTTGCTCCTGCTTTCCCTGCCTTGTCCTTCCTCGTCCTGCCCTGAGTTGCCACGCGCTGCCCTCTTCTGCCTTGCCACTTCTCGCCCTGTCTTGAATTGCGCTGAAATATTTCTCAGGCACTGCAAAATACGATACAGCTTACCCGTGCAAAATTTCGTTTTTCGTTCCTTTCTGGAAGCTGAAACATGATACATATGGTACCGCTCAAACACAGGGTGATAGGCAGACTGATTTAATTATATAACAGATTTTAAGGTGAGGAAAAGCAAGTATCAATGCTTGAACGTTAAATTCTAAGACTTTGTGCAATCCTGGCGGGAGCATTAAAATTGTGTTTTCCTTGAAAGGACCCAAAATTAAGTCACTTGAAATGACTCAAAATTAAGTCACCCGAAATTATTTGAGCCGCATGAAGTTTTTCAGCGAAACAAAAAAGGAAGGACATTGCAGGAGTAAATCAAAACAACTAGCATTTAACGCACCTCCGGTGCTTCGAATTTTTTAAACCGCTCGTGAAAAACCGCATTTTTTGGAAAAAATCTGCTACAGGGTTGGTAATTTTCCTACTTTTTAGTTTTTTTAATTCCCATTTTGAAAAAACCATAAAAGCGTCATCTTAAAACCATAAAAACTTAATGGGCCTCTGGAGAAATTTGGAGGCCAGATTTGCAACCACTGAGAGCCCCTGATAGCACCCTACGATACGGTTGGGACTTTCAATTTAAGTGATTTTTTTTTAAACTTAAGATTCCCGACAAAAATTGATTAAATCATGAAAAAAGTCTTAGCTCGGAAACTAAATGAATTTGAGCATTCACATTTAGAGGCAAGATTTGCCACGATTGGGTATACGCTGACAATAAGGTTGTGTCTTCATCAAGTTGGTGGTTTCAAATTTTGCGAATTTCTTTGTAGATAATTTCTTGGAGAAATTTTGAAAAAAAAAATCAAAAAAACGTCACATCTCGGAAACTAAAAGCAATTGAGCAGTCGTATTTGAGTAGTCGCATGTGGCAAGATTTGTAATTCCTGAGATTGCCCTGAGAGCACTGAACTACAAAGTTGGGAATTTCAAATTACGAAAAAAAATACATAAATTTTCTGAAATTTTTTAAAGAAAAATCATAAAAAACGTCACATCTCGAAAACTACAAGGATTTGAACAGTCATATTTGGAGGCAAGATTTGCAACACCTTAGAGTACCCTGACAGCACCCAACCACAGGAACTTTGAAAAAAAAAATTAATCTCGAAAACTACAAAGAATTGAGCAGTCATATTTGGAGGCGAGATTCGGAATCCTTGAGAGTACTCTGGCAGAACCCAACTACAGGGTTGGGAATTTCAGCTTTTGCGAAAAACAAAACTATAACTTTTCTGAAATTTTTTTGAAAAAATCACAAAAAACGTGATATCTCGAAAACTACAATGTTTTGAACAGTCATATTTGGAGGTAAGATTCGGAATTCTTGAGAGTACTCTGGCAGAACCCAAATACAGGGTTGGGAAGTTCAGCTTTTGCGAAAAAAAATTAATTTAAGGTGTCTGAATATTTTTGAAAAAATCACAAAAAACGTCATATCTCGAAAACTACAAGGATTGAACAGTCACATTTGGAGGCAAGATTTGCAACTCCTTGGAGTACCCTGACAGCACCTAACTACAGGGTTGGGAATTTCAAATTTTGAAAAATAATTAATTTGAGTTTCCTAAAAATTTTTGAAAAAAATCACAAAAAACGTCTTATCTCGTTAACTAAAAAAAAAATTGGCCATTCAAAATTGGAGGCCAAATTCGCAACCCCTTGGTGAATCCGGACAGCATCCCAATAATGGGCTGCTTATTTTAAACAAGGTGAAATAACCACTAAAATCAAACTGAAAAATAGAAGAAAAAAAATCTTAACCATTGCAATATACGATATAGCTTAAACATGCAAAAGTAAAACGTTGAAAAAGCTTGAACATGGCGAGATAGTGAAGCCCGCATTTAAATATATAAAATAACCACTAAAATCAAACTGGAAAATCGAAAAAAAAAATCTTAACCATTGCAATATACGATATAGCTTAAACATGCAAAAATAATACGCTGAAAAAGCTTAAACATGGCGAGATAGTGAAGCCCGCATTTAAATATATAATGGATAGATGAAAGCAACTACAATGAAAACTGCGCACAGGAAACAAAGTGATTCCAAGATGTCGACAAAACATAAGAAGACAAACAGTATATTATACAAGACGACCAACGAAATATCCTTAACGCTCTCTGTCCCTCAAAAAGAATCAATCTCTCCAATTCAATTGGAAGCTCGGAACCGAAATTAGTGTAGCTACAACAACAACAACAGCAAGACAAAAATTAGGCCGACAATTTTTTTTGAACACGATATTTCACGGTTGCAAAAAAAAAACAGGTCCTGTTCAGATTCAAACCCAGAACCTTTGCACTTCCATTCGTATGCGTTCCAAGTGTGCCGAAGAAGCTAAGAAATTCAACTTCGATACGAAGCAAGATACCACCTGGAGATGAGTCCTATGAACAAAGTTGTTATCGGGAAAGAAGTCTAGTACCCGGTTACAATACCCTTCCTAATCGCAAGAGTAAACATTATTTGACCTTTTCCCAAATAATCAATTTTGTATTCTGGGGTTCGATAATTCGATGGTGTCTAAATTAATCAATTTTGCATTACGCATGCTAACCGGTAATCAAAACATTCGGGACCACAGAGCTGGGCCATGGACCGCCATGATATCACTCGCAGTGGAATTGTGATGGTATTGCAGATTAAGCTCAGAATACACTCTTCATATGCTAGACGATTTGACTCAGCCGCCTTGAAGTACTCGGCTTTATGTCGCTTTCGGTTGAACAGAAAATTTGAAGAAAAACTGTAAGTGAACAAATATGTTACATCAGCTAAGACCGTGGGCATATAACCATCCCATAATGAATAAAAAGGCCGTTTTCTGGTTACAAATTGCATATTTTCCCAAAAACTGGGTATTATGCAATAGCCAGTTCCATCAAGCAACCTAACAGGAGCCAATTCGTTACCCAGCATTAAATTCATTTTTATGAGCCTGTACGGGTAAAAGAGATTTCCTAAAACAGCAGCTGGGAAGGGAGAGTATATAAAGCTTTCAACATTCATAACTATCTAGAAGAAAAATAAGGGCTTATTATATCCTACAAGATACAAAATTGTTGGTTGCATAGTTGGTTTGCGTTAAGTTATTTAAAAGAGATTGCTCCATTTGACAAGAAAATATAGCCTATGGACTGATTGTCTGAAACTGAAATTTTCAAGTTTTCCAAAAAAAAAACACAATTAACAGAAGGATGAAGTTCTACTCAGCCCAATTGTTGTGATCAAATTAATAACTAGTTTGATATTGTATGACTATGTCCGGAAAGGGTGACCGATCGTTTAGCAGACAAATCTAACAGCATAAAAAGTGAAAAATAAGTCTAAAAGCAGACAACCGTAATTAAGTGATGGATCATTGATTGGCAGACTCGAAAAGACGCGCAGTCTGGGGTCAAGCTTCTCCAATTAAGTCAATTATCTCACAATTTGTCAACAAAACTATCAACTTCAAAAACACAAGGGTCTAAATTAGCCGCAAAACAAAAACTTACGTGCAATAACTTTCGTGTTGAATTGAAGCGTAGCGGAGTAAGCGGTCGCTAATCGCCAATGCCCCGTTTGAAGTTAGCTATCACACTTTATAATTGCTGTCTGCAAAAAAAACCTGTCTGCTAAAATCCCTAGCACCTTAAGAACCGGAGCAGAATGAGATGCCGGAGTCGGTAGACCCAGACAAGCCCATGACCATCGAGACAAGATGAAGCGGACATAAAAAAACCGACATGAGACACAAAAGGAATGAGATACAACTTCTTGATCGACAAAACAAAGTCCGACGAGTTTGAGGCAGAGATGGCGAGCGTAGGTGGCTTAACCCCAACTAAGAATGGCATATTGTTGATGATGATGAATTATTCTGGCAAAAGAATCACAGTGAGCCAGAGATGAATCTGGAGCTGTGCGAAATGGAAATGAGAGAACAGACAAAATTGAAAATTGTAGAGTGAATATATGGCCTACCAGAAGGTGAAGATGAGGGAATCAGCAGGCAACAAGTCAACCTATCTAAAGCTGGAAATGTTACGAAAAGAAATCCTCGTTTGAAAGGATAGCAACGGAGCGACCACTTGTCATAACATCAATTAACCAAGATTCACCACCATCGACGGGAACGTCGATAAATTTTTTAGTCGGTGGAGTGGGGTAGGACTTACCCACATCAAAATATTTGGACTAAGGAAGCTGAGGGAGACAAGAGAAACCAGTGGACTGCATGCAAAAGAAGAGTAAGTTGAACCCACTATTGGAGAAAAAAATCCAAACCAAGTTTGAAAAACCGAACGAATACTCGGAGAATATTTTGTTAAAGACAGCGACTTCATCTTGTCAGACAGGACCAATGCGATATGCATAACAGCGGACATTAGCTTCAAAACCAGGCTAGAGGCGAGTTTCATAAGAGAACATCAAAATGTGGAGTTCCTGTTCAGACAGAGACCGAGATTGGAAGCCCTAGCGGCAATCCCACCATCTGTATCGCAGGTGCCAGCTAAATACTTGTGCTTTATGGTGAAAAACACGAGTGAGAAGTATGCGGTAGATCCTGAACATAAGGTATGGCCTTAACGCGACTAAGAGATTTTTTGGTCGAAAGAGAAACAAAAGATGTCTCGATATCAATTTACGATCCGAAAAGAAGCAAATTGAATCCCCGGGAGCTGTATGCTATCTTGCACGTACCCTTCACAGAAACAGAGATAACAGTACACCTGCACAGGAAAAATTACCTGAGCATTGCTTGAGTCTTGAGTTGGCACAAGGGTCTTGAGTTGAGGGGGGTTGGAACACTGCGCTAAAATATAACAGGGACTGCATTAATTCTTATTTGATTAAATGTTTGCAATGGTGAACTCAAAAATGATGCTTCGCTCATTTGAGCGACTAACAGACTGATTGACGAAAAGATCTTTTTATCAAATCTGTTCGTATAATTTTCGGAAGTTTGTGAATGGGATTAAGCCAGTGGTAGGAAATGGATAAGTCTAAAACGCAGTTTTGTTTTCAGAATGAATTTGATTAATCATCGAAAGGAATCAAACTAAAACGATCAAAGTTAACAGGCAAGATAATCAGAGGAGATCTAGTGGTTCACGCTGGAATGTCCCGAGGTATTAAAGCGGACATTATTGAGTGGTAATCTGGTTCGGAAATTCTTGAATGGTACCCTTCTTGCTAATTCTTGAGTGGTATTCTGTTTCGGAAGTTCTTGAGTGCTATTCTGGTTCGCTACTCTCTTGAGCATTCTGCATTTTTCAAACCAAGCACGATCGCTTCTGGAAATTGATGCCTGCGGCACTAAAGAAGCCCACGCTTGACAAATTGTACAGGCGTCTGAGGGATTAGGAATATTCCCAGTTGGACGAGAGGATGGTGGTGATGTTGAATGCCATCTTGCAGCTGAAATTGCAAGGAGAAGGGAGGGAGTCAGCAATCGAAGCGCTGCTGATGGTGGGCTATACGTCCAATGGATTATCAATTGAATATCACATCAAGAGCGAACAAGATGACTGTCATGGAGCACCGACGGGGTCTTGAGAGGATTTGACAAGGCAAGAATTCTTGGCTTGAGCAAAAACACTGAAAATGGTGCTGGCGACTTTCCTGTCTCTACCAGGCCAACTACGAGAATAGGGGTTCCGATGAGCAGCAAACCTACGTCGATGATTGAGTCTCAACAAAAGGAAGCGGCATATCCGGACAGCGGCAGATAAAGAAGGCAATTCGAAAAGACCCAAAGCGAACGGGACCCAGCCACTCGGGATAGGGACCAAGCTACCCTAGAAAGGGACCTGTTAAGAGACGAGCTAGAGCAGACCTGAAAGATACAAGAGACAACGGCAACCCGCGACCAGCTAAAGTTGGAACTCGATCAAATGCAGAGGTGGAAACAAGAGGGTGAAAATAGCAAGGAGCGAAAGGTGAGGACTCCGAGTGAACCTCTGATGGCTAGATCAAGGCCGGAATCGAATATGGAGGCGGAGCAGACACATAGGGCGATTGGTCGCTTTAATTTCGATCCGGAAACTCAGGAGCAGATGAGCGAGATTCCAGAGACGTGGACCCCTCCGGAACCCACGCCGACCTTAAGAGATCCAGAGTTGAGTCGAATCAAGCCACTGGCAGTAGAAGTGGCACTACCTGGCCTGCTGCCCAGTTTTACTGGAGGCAGCCAGATTAGCGCCGGAACTTCTCGTCTCAAAGAACTGCATTTGAGATTCCCCGAAAGCCCCGCATCGGAAGGGGGCGGTGCACCCGGAAAAATCAACCGGTGAGGGGTGCAATTATGTCAAAGCACAAGAAAAGCGTCAATGCAAAGTACTACGGACACCACAAGGAGGACTGGACGAGCAGAATGTGCGAAAAGAGAGCGGCCTTGAATGAAGCGGCCTTGGTAGATTAGCTGACGAATCCAAGAAAACCTGAGGACCCGGTTCACTTGATAATAGGAGACAACCTGGTCAGGTTTCTCACAATATTACGAGCACACTGGCAAGTGGGTGTCTTGAGTTTCTCAGGAGCGGCGATGTCTCAGATGTTGGTTTTCCTGGAAGAGTTGGAGGTAAGAAAAATACACACCGCCACTTTGATGATTTGCGGAGTTGATGTTTCTAAATCTGAGTCGAGGAAAATGACAATTTTGCCGGAGAATGTGAGCTGCATTTTGCAAGAGGCGAGGATCTACTCGGATCCTACGATACTGACGACTTTCACGGTGCCATACCACATGATGGAGGACGATAATCGAGTGAGCATGAACGAGAGGATGCGTCACATCAATGGAGTAATACGCGAGATCTAGAGGAGCTGTAATCTGCCGCTGAGGTTGCTTGATGTTGCTCATATGATGGAGGAACCCCTATCGGTCGGATGTTCCTCCGATGGCATCCAATTTGATCGTATTAAAGGCGTGGAATGGTTGAACAAAGTTCTCCAGAAGCACATCAACAATCTAGAGTCGGATTTACTTGAAACTAGAAACGGATATTTACTGGAGACTCTTCTACACCACAAAGCTCGGTGATGTCGTCAGTCGTAGTGGAAGATAGAGATCCACGAGAGAGGCCCCGGAAGGCACGAGCAAGACCAGATACCTAAATAACTGTCCCCGAAGGATTTGGTCTGCTGGCGAGAGTTAATGGAAATTCTTGAGCTCGAGAAATTTCCTCATGCGGACCCAAGCAGCCATTATTGCGTAGACTGGCTGATGGCGCAAGAAGCGCAATTTTGTCGAGAAAGAACCTTGGAGACATCGGAGCTGACAGGTGTTCCGAGGAGGTCGATCCTTGGCACGATCAACTATAAACCACTGAACGAGCTGGGGAGTCTGGGCATGATTGCGGAACAACCAAAACAACGCGCGGGCCTGTCCAGAAGTACGGTGGAGACACCAGCGCAATTACGAGTGGTAGAGAAGCTTTCAAACCAAGATGTCGACAAAACATAAGAAGACAAACAGTATATTATACAAGACGACCAACGAAATATCCTTAACGCTCTCTGTCCCTCAAAAAGAATCAATCTCTCCAATTCAATTGGAAGCTCGGAACCGAAATTAGTGTAGCTACAACAACAACAACAGCAAGACAAAAATTAGGCCGACAATTTTTTTTGAACACGATATTTCACGGTTGCAAAAAAAAAACAGGTCCTGTTCAGATTCAAACCCAGAACCTTTGCACTTCCATTCGTATGCGTTCCAAGTGTGCCGAAGAAGCTAAGAAATTCAACTTCGATACGAAGCAAGATACCACCTGGAGATGAGTCCTATGAACAAAGTTGTTATCGGGAAAGAAGTCTAGTACCCGGTTACAATACCCTTCCTAATCGCAAGAGTAAACATTATTTGACCTTTTCCCAAATAATCAATTTTGTATTCTGGGGTTCGATAATTCGATGGTGTCTAAATTAATCAATTTTGCATTACGCATGCTAACCGGTAATCAAAACATTCGGGACCACAGAGCTGGGCCATGGACCGCCATGATATCACTCGCAGTGGAATTGTGATGGTATTGCAGATTAAGCT